AACCCACCTCAACCCATGAGACCCTCCTCCTGGGCCCAATCCTGTTCAGGATCTTGATTCATGACTTAGGTGAAGGGTTAGAAGGCAGGATCATCAAGTTTGCAGACGACACCAAATTGGGAGGGAGAGCCAAGACTCCAGAAGACAGGTTGTTGTTCATTTGTTCAGTCGTCTCCAACTCTTCGTGACCTCATGGACCAGCCCATGCCAGAGCTCCCTGTCGGCTGTCACCACCCCCAGCTCCTTCAAGGTCAGTCCAGTCACTTCAAGGATGCCATCCATCCATCTTGCCCTTGGTCGGCCCCTCTTCCTTTTGCCTTCCACTTTCCCCAGCATCATTCCCTTCTCTAGGCTTCCTGTCTCCTCATGATGTGGCCAAAGTACTTCAACTTTGTCTCTAGTATCCTTCCCTCCAATGAGCAGCGGGCTTTATTTCCTGGAGGATGGACTGGTTGGATCTTCTCGCAGTCCAAGGCACTCTCAGAACTTTCCTCCAACATGACAGCTCAAAAGCATCTCTCTTCCTTCGCTCAGCCTTCCCTAAGGTCCAGCTCTCACATCCGTAGGTGACTACAGGGAAGACCATGGCTTTGACTAGGCAATGGATCTTTGTTGCCAGTCTGATGTCTCTACTCTTTACTATTTTATCGAGACTGGACATTGCTCTCCTCCCAAGAAGTAAGCGCCTTCTGATTTCCTGGCCACAGTCTGCATCTGCAGTAATCTTTGCGCCTAGAAATACAAAGTCTGTCACGGCCTCCACATTTTCTCCCTCTATTTTCCAATTGTCAATCATTCTTGTTGCCATAATCTTGGGTTTTTTTGTGTTTAGCTGCAACCCGGCTTTTGCGCTTTCTTCTTTCACCTTGATTAGAAGGCTCCTCAGCTCCTCCTCGCTTTCGGCCATCAGAGTGGTGTCATCTGCATATCTGAGGTTGTTAATGTTTCTTCCAGCAATTTCCACCCCAGCTTTGCATCCTCGCATGATGTGTTCTGCATACAAGTTAAAAAGGTTGGGTGAGAGGATGCAGCCTTGCCGTACGCCTTTCCCAATCTTGAACCAGTCTGTTGTTCCGTGGTCAGTTCTGACTGTTGCTACTTGGTCCTTGTACAGATTCTCAGGAGAGAGGGAAGGGGGCTTGGGATGCCCATCCCACCAAGAACTTGCCACAATTTATTATGATCCACACAGTCAAAGGCTTTAGAAGAGTCAATGAAGCAGAAGTAGATGTTTTTCTGAAACTCCCTGCCTTTCTCCATTCTCCAGCATCCGGAGATTGGCAATCTGGTCTCTCGTTCCTCTGCCTTTTCTAAACCCAGCTTGAACATCTGGCAACTCTCGCTCCATGTCTTGCTGGAGTCTTCCTTGCAGGATCTTGAGCATTACCTTACTGGCATGAGAAAGAAGGGCCACTGTACGGAAGAATCTTCACAGATGAGAGAGACGATGGGCCAAAACTAACACAAGGAAGTTCCACAGGGACAAATGCAAGATACTCCACTTAGGCAGAAAAAAGGAAATGCAAAGAGACAGAATGGGGGAACGATGCCTTGCTTGAGATCAGTCTGTGTGGAAAAAATCTTTTCCTCGTGGGGAGGAAGGTGATAATGAACCAGCAATGTCATGCGGTGGCAATAAAAGCCAATGGGATTTTGGCCTGCATCAATAGGAGTCCCTCCAGCAAAGGATCACCGCCTTGTCGGGGCGCTGGAGCTTGAGCACCTCAATGATGTCATGAGCGAAACCGTGAAGGGACACCCAAGACGGGACGGGTGTGGCAGAGAGGTCAGACCAAGCGTGATCCCTGGGGAAGGCAATGGCAAACCACTCCAGTATCCTTGCCAAGAAAAAAATGGACCAGTACAACCAGAGATATGTCGGTATGCCATTGGAAGATGGGACTCCCAGGTCGGAAGATGGCCAAAATGCTACTGGGGAGGAGCAGAGGATAAGTTCAACTAGCCCCAGATGTGATGACGCAGCTAGCTCAAAGCCGAAAGGAAGGCTAGCGGCTGACGGTACTGGAGGTGAACGACGAATCCGATGCTCTAAAGATCATCACACCATAGGAACCTGGAATGTAAGATCTATGAGCCAGGGCAAATTGGATGTTGTTATTGGTGAGATGTCAAGACTAAAGATAGACATTCTGGGGGTCAGCGAACTGAAATGGACTGGAATGGGCCACTTCACATCAGATGGTCACCAGATCTACTACTGCGGACAAGAGGAACATCGAAGAAATGGAGTAGCCTTCATAATTAATAAGAAATTCGCTAAAGCGGTGCTTGGATACAACCCAAAAAATGACAGAATGATCTCAATTCGAGTGCAAGGAAAGCCTTTCAACATTAGTGATCCAAATATACGCCCCAACCACAGCTGCTGAAGAAGCAGAAGTAGATCAGTTCTATGAGGATCTGCAGAATCTACTGGATAATACACCCAAAAAAGACATTATTTTCATTACAGGAGACTGGAATGCTAAGGTGGGAAGTCAAATGACAACTGGGATCACAGGCAAGCATAGTCTGGGAGAACAAAATGAAGCGGGACGCAGGCTGATAGAATTTTGCCAGGAAAACTCACTGTGTATAACGAATACTCTCTTCCAACAACCTAAAAGACGGCTTTACACATGGACCTCACCAGATGGTCAACACCGAAATCAGATTGACTACATCCTTTGCAGCCAAAGGTGGCGGACATCCATCCAGTCGGTGAAAACAAGACCTGGGGCTGACTGTAGCTCAGATCACGAACTGCTTATTGCCAATTTAGAATAAAACTAAAGAGATCAGGGAAAATACACAGACCAGTTAGATATGATCTCACTAACATTCCTAGCGAATATACAGTGGAAGTGAAGAACAGATTTGAAGGACTAGATTTAGTAAACAGAGTCCCAGAAGAACTATGGACAGAAGTCCGAGACATTGTTCAGGAGGCGGCAACAAAGTACGTCCCAAAGAAAAAGAAAACCAAGAAGGCACAATGGTTGTCTGCTGAGACACTGGAAGTAGCCCAAGAAAGGAGGAAAGCAAAAGGAAACAGGGATAAGGGGAGATATGCCCAGTTAAATGCGCAATTCCAGAGGTTAGCCAGAAGAGATAAGGAACTAATTTTAAATAAGCAATGCATGGAAGTGGAAGAAGACAACAGAATAGGAAGGACAAGAGACCTCTTCCAGAAAATTAGAAACATTGGAGGTAAATTTCAGGCAAAAATTGGTATGATAAGAAACAAAGACGGTAGGGACCTAACAGAAGCTGAAGAGATCAAGAGAAGGTGGCGAGACTATACAGAAGATCTGTATAGGAAGGATAATAATATTGAGGATAGTTTTGACGGTGTGGTGAATGAATTAGAACCAGACATCCTGAGGAATGAGGTTGAATGGGCCTTAAGAAGCATTGCTAACAACAAGGCAGCAGGAGATGACGGGATCCCAGCTGAACTGTTTAAAATCTTAAAAGATGATGCTGTCAAGGTGATGCATGCCATATGCCAGCAAATATGGAAAACACAAGAATGGCCATCAGACTGGAAAAAATCAACTTACATCCCCATACCAAAAAAAGGGAAATGCGAAAGACTGCTCAAACTTCCGTACAGTGGCCCTTATTTCTCATGCCAGTAAGGTAATGCTCAAGATCCTGCAAGGAAGACTCCAGCAATACATGGAGCGAGAGTTACCAGATGTTCAGGCTGGGTTTAGAAAAGGCAGAGGAACGAGAGACCAAATTGCCAATATCCGCTGGATAATGGAGAAAGCAGGGAGTTTCAGAAAAACATCTACTTCTGCTTCATTGACTATTCTAAAGCCTTTGACTGTGTGGATCATAATAAATTGTGGCAAGTTCTTAGTGGGATGGGCATCCCAAGCCACCTTGTCTCTCTCCTGAGGAATCTGTACAAGGACCAAGTAGCAAGTCAGAACTGACCACGGAACAACAGACTGGTTCAAGATTGGGAAAGGCGTACGGCAAGGCTGCATCCTCTCACCCAACCTTTTTAACTTGTATGCAGAACACATCATGCGATGTGCGGGGCTGGATGAATGCAAAGCTGGGGTGAAAAATGCTGGAAGAAACATTAACAACCTCAGATATGCAGATGACACCACTCTGATGGCCGAAAGCGAGGAGGAGCTGAGGAGCCTTCTAATCAAGGTGAAAGAAGAAGGCAGTTAAACATAAAAAACCACCAAGATTATGGCAATAAGAATGATTGACAACTGGGAAATAGAGGGAGAAACGTGGAGGCCGTGACAGACTTTGTATTTCTAGGTGCAAAGATTACTGCAGATGCAGACTGTGGCCAGGAAATCAGAAGACGCTTACTTCTTGGGAGGAGAGCAATGTCCAATCTCTAAAGAGTAAAGAGTAAAGAGTAGAGACATCAGACTGGCAACAAAGATCCGCCTAGTCAAAGCCATGGTATTCCCTGTAGTAACCTACGGATGTGAGAGCTGGACCTTAGGGAAGGCTGAGCGAAGGAAGATCGATGCTTTTGAGCTGTGGTGTTGGAGGAAAGTGCTGAGAGTGCCTTGGACTGCGAGAAGATCCAACCAGTCCATCCTACAGGAAATAAAGCCCGACTGCTCACTGGAGGGAAAGATACTAGAGACAAAGTTGAAGTACTTTGGCCACATCATGAGGAGACAGGAAAGCCTAGAGAAGTCAATTATGCTGGGGAAAGTGGAAGGCAAAAAGGAAGAGGGGCCGACCAAGGGCAAGATGGATGAATGGCATCCTTGAAGTGACTGGACTGACCTTGAGGGAGCTGGGGGTGGTAACGGCTCACAGGGAGCTGTGGCGTAGGCTGGTCCATGAGGTCACGAAGATTCGGAGACGACTGAACGAATGAACAACATACAATAGGAGTCCAATGCCTAGATCCAGGGAAGTCATGCTACCCATGCTTTATACCATGCTGATTTTCTTGTATGTATTTTCCTGAATTTGGTGGATAATTAATTCCTGTTGTTTCGCTTCAGGGAAATGTGGTGCTCCTAACGCGTTGAAAAACGCACGTATCCCTGAAGGCAGCAGCTCTGAGAAGCTGCGCTACTCCTGCGTGAAGAACTACAAACGGAAAGCGGGCACCTCCAACCTCATTCTCTGCAAGCTGGATAGCAACACCAAAAAGTACCAGTGGACGAAAGCCAACTTGACCTGTATTCGTAAGTATCCCTCGCCCCGTGCTCCACATTAGAGCTTTGGGTATCCACTTCTCCTTTGAGAACCTGCTTTAAGAATTGGGATTAGCAGTAACCGTTATTCGGTTATCTTGGTGGAGGTTGCTACTCCATTAGCCTCACAGGCGCCTGTTGTTCAGCAACTGCTCCATCCATGGTGATGGATAGCACATTGCATTCCCAGGCAGATTTTGCAAACATTACCTCCCTAGAATCCCCTATTTATTTGTCGTGTCAGGGCAACCAGTTGATTGTATTACATTTCTAACAGAACAAAACAAGCAAACAGACAAAACACAAAATTTGCAAGTTTGGTAGTTGATTAAATGTCCTTTGACCAGTATCTGGCCCCTTGGAGTGCCTCTGGTGTTGCCGCAAGAAGGTCCTCCCTTGTGCATGTGGCAGGGCTCAGGGTGCATTGCAGCAGGTGGTCAGTGGTTTGCTCCTCTCCACACTCACATGTCGTGGATTCCACTTTGTGGCCCCATTTCTTCAGGTTGGCTCTGCATCTCGTGTTGCCAGAGCACAGTCTGTTCAGTGCCTTCCAAGTCGCCGAGTCTTCTGTGTGCCCTGGAGGGAGTTTCGCAGGTTTTAGCCTGCCACTTTTGGACTCTTGCTTGCTGAGGTGTTCCTTCAAGTATCTCTGTAGGTCTTAGAAAACTATTTTTTCATTTAAAGTGTTGGTGTACTGGTTGATATCAACAGATGCTGTGGAATAATACATGGGTGTATTTTTTCCATACTCCAAGAATGGATAAAAAGCCTTCCAAGTCGCCCAGTCTTGAGTCTCTCATTTGGTGTCAGCCATTGGTTGAGGTTCTGGGTTTGAGCCTGCCACTTTTGAACTCTCGCTTGCTGAGGTGTTCCAGCGAGTGTCTCTGTAGATCTTAGAAAACTATTTCTTGATTTAAGTCATTGGCGTGCTGGCTGATACCCAAACAGGGGATGAGCTGGAGATGTCTCTGCCTTGGTCCTTTCACTATTGGCTGCTACTTCCCGTCAGATGTCAGGTGGTGCAATACCGGCTAAGCAGTGTAATTTCTCCAGAATCCCCTAAACCAGTGTTTGTCAATCTGGGAGTCAGGACCCCTGGGGGGTTGTGAGGGGGTGCCAGAGGGGTCACCAAAGATCATCAGAAAACACAGTATTTTCTGTTGGTCATAGGGGTTCTGTGTGGGAAGTTTGGCTCAATTCTATCATTGGTGAGGTTCAGAATGCTCTTTGATTGTAGGTGAACTATAAATCCCAGTAACAAAACTCCCAAATGCCAAGGTCTATTTTCCCCAAACTCCACCAGTCTTCACATTTGAGCATATGGAGTATTTGTGCCAAGTTTGGTCCAGATTCATCATTGCTTGAGTCCATAGAGCTCTCTGGATGTAGGTGAACTACAACTCCAAAACTCAAGGTCAATGCCCACCAAACCCTTCCAGTATTTTCTGTTGGTCATGGGAATTCTGTGCACCAAGTCTGGTTCAATTCCGTCATTGGTGGAGTTCAGAATTCTGTTTGATTTTAAGTCAACTATAAATCCCAGCAACTACAACTCCCACAAGACAAAATCAATCCCCGTTTCCAACCCCACCAGTATTCAAATTTGGGCATATTGGGTCTTTGTGCCAAAACAGAAGCAAAATTAGTTATGAAGTAGCAACAAAAATTATTTTCTGGTTGGGGGACACCACAACATGAGGAACTGTATTAAGGGGTCCCAGCATCAGGAAGGTTGAGAACCACTGCCCTAAGCTATAATGGGCCTGACTGTGCTATCTTGGGGATATTGGGACTTGTAATCCACGAAGTTAACTTTTCCAATCTCTGTGCCATTTGATCACTTTTCCAAATTAGAAAAGTCAATATTGCTGTCATGCTGAACTTCGGTATAAAATTACCATTTCTATGAGATGTCTATTTACCAGATAACCCTCTTTCTCTCTCTTCTTCTCTCTTCCTCCATCCCGTATCCATCTGTCCATCTCGTTTCCACATTTCCTTCAAAGGAGACCCATCGTTGCCTTCTTCAACAACCCCAATGTCCAGGGGAGGTAAGCTCGTTTGGGCTTTTGTTGGGGAATTGGGGAATGGCACCAAACTTCGATACAGTAGAGTCTCGCTTATCCAACCTTCGCTCATCCATCGCTCTCTATTATCCAACGCAGTCTGTCTCCTGCCCAGATCCACAGCTGTTTCAATACATTGTGATGTTTTGGTGCTAAATTTGTAAATACTGTAATTATTACATGACGTTACTGTGTATTGAACTGCTTCTTCTGTTGCTTTGTTGTAAAACATGATGTTTTGGTGCTTAATTTGTAAAACCATAACATAATTTGATGTTTAATGGGCTTTTCCTTAATTATCCAACATTTTCGCTTATCCAACGTTCTGCTGGCCCGTTTATGTTGGATAAGCAAGACTCTACTGTATTACGAATTTGAGGATTCCTTGATATGTATTTCTGTTCATAGAATCAAAGAGTTGGGAGAGACCTCCTGGGCCGTCCAGTCCAACCCCTTTCTGCTAAGAAGCAGGAAAATGGCATTCAAAGCTCCCCCGACAGATGGCCATCCAGCCTCTGTTTAAAAGCTTCCAAAGAAGGAGCCTCCACCACACTCCGGGGCAGAGAGTTCCACTGCTGAACGGCTCTCACAGTCAGGAAGTTCTTCCTCATGTTCAGGTGGAATCTCCTTTCTTGTAGTTTGATCCAAGATACAGTCAGCTTGTCCCCCCCCCCCCCCAAAAAAAAGCATTTTGGGGGGACCATTTCCCCAATGAGTTTTGGGACTGCCATTTTCTCCCTCCGGAGATTTACTAGGGGAAAACATATTTCCAGCATAAGCATAACTACAATCTAGTTCAGGTTAAATTTGGTCCAAAGGGCACAATACTAAGTTCATTCCGTGAGCATTAAAGCCCAGCTCACACCAATATTGGTGGTTGAGAAACTCTCCTTGAAATCTTCCTTCCTCTCTATTGGAAAGTTTACAAACTTTGGGATGAGCCATTTGCAACTCTCCAGAAGTTTTGGAGTATAGTTCCCATCACCTTTTGTCATGCATAATAGATATTGGAGGCCATACCCAAGAAAATCTGAAGGGCCCCATGTTGTTGAATCCCTACAGAGATTTGCACTGGATCTGCTAGGATTCTTTCTCATTATTTTCTGAAGATTTCGGAGGGGTTCAACATTTCGCATGCAGTTATATTAGGCTCTACTTCTCATCGGCACAGTGGGCATGGGCTAGGGATGATTTATTCTGTCTAGAAGGTGGACAGTTGGGGAAAACGTATTTAAAGCTTGGAACACTAGGACCAAGAGTTTCGTGTAGTCATCCTATTATCGTCGAAGGCTTTCATGGCCAGAATCACTGGGTTGTTGTAGGTTTTTTCAGGCTATATGGCCATGGTCTAGAGGCATTCTCTCCTGACGTTTTGCCTGCATCTATGGCAAGCATCCTCAGAGGTAGTGAGGTCTGTTGGAAGTAGGAAAAAGGGTTTATATATCTGTGGAATGACCAGGGTGAGACAAAGGACTCTTGTCTGCTGGAGCTAGGTGTGAATGTTTCAACTGATCACCTTGATTAGCATATAATGCCCTGACAGTGCCTGTGAAATTACAACAGCACAACAACAGAGGAAACAAACAAGGACATCTAATCACCTCTCAACAAAAGTTTGCTCCAGGCACTGTCAGGCCATTATATGCTAATCAAGGTGGTCAGTTGAAACATTCACACCTAGCTCCAGCAGACAAGAGTCCTTTGTCCCACCCTGGTCATTCCACAGATATATAAACTTTTCCTAGTTCCAACAGACCTCACTACCTCTGAGGATGCTTGCCATAGATGCAGGCGAAATGTCAGGAGAGAATGCCTCTAGACCATGGCCATATAGCCCAAAAAAACCTACAACAACCTTTCTATTATTGATTTTCTCAGAACATCTGTCCTGAGAAGACCACATCTGGAGAGAAGGGCCCCTTTCATAGCATTGTCCAGATGTGGTCCTCCTGTTTGAGCTGATGGGACAATGGCCACCCAATGCCAAGTTGGCCTCCCATCCTGCAGAGGTGGCCCTTGCAACCAAGGAGGTTAGGAAGCAAACAAGTATGTTCTTGGATCCACTTAACTCAATGCTTTGGAAATTTTCCATCCTCATTTCATGAGTCTTTCCTGAAGTGTCTTGATTTCTGTGCTGGGTTTAGCCAATTTGAAGGACCTTACCACCCAATAGAAGCCTAATTGAAGCTCAGATCTTCCACCAGTTTCTCCAACTTCTTTGGTGGAAAGAAGGGAGACAGGGCCTTCTTGGTGGCTGCTCCCAGATTTCTGAACTTCCCCTCCATTGCCTTAGTAGGTCAAAACTTTCTTATGCTGTACCACACCGTTACTCTATTGCCCTTTTTCCACTTTAACTGGCGTGGCAACCACCAACCAGCCTTTCTGTTGGTAGCATTCTGGAATTTGTAGTCTAGGGAGGACCAGGGGCTCTCTGGTTGAGAAAAGAAGGCTGGCCTGGGTTAAAAAAAACTTTGAAAATAGGACTTTTTTTCTTGATCAGAGGCTTCGCTAAGATGCCTGGAGAGCAGGGCATTGGTATTTGCTGGAGTTTGATTCCAGGACCTCCATGGATGCCCAGGTCCTATTGTTACATACAATGGTATAGTAAAATGGTGTCTCTTATATAAAATGATGAAATCAAGGTTTACTTTTTGGAATTTTAAAGATAATATTTTCAAGCTATGGATGCTTGAATCCATGTTTGCAGAATCTGCGGACACAGCGGACCAGCAGTAATTTAAAAATGGGGCTTTATCAACAGCTGGAATTGAATTCAGAAGCAAATAGGCAGTTCATTTGTTGTAAAAAGAACCTGTCTAGCTGTGGGTCCCAGATTATCTTCAAGGGCTGCCCCGCAAATAACTCATTACAGTAGTCCAACTTGCCTAAGACTCTTACCCGTATTGTAGAAGCCACGACTTCCACACTGGCGGCTCCCAAGACGACTGCTGCCTCAACACTGGAGACGGGTAGCCCACCGCCAGATAAACCTACCACCACCACCACCACCATGGTGCCACGATCCACCGTAGGGCTTCGCCAAGTCACCTCTCCTGGTCCCATCACCCAAAGAAGCACCTGGCCCCAAGAGACCACCACCACATCTCCGGCTTTGCAGGCCATGACTTCCAAGACCCTTAAGGCAGGAAACAGATCCACAGCTGCGCCATCAGAGACAAGCACTCCGTGGAAACTTACAGGTTGGTCCCTGATGGGCTGAAACTGACACTCACCCACTAACCCCCAGCTAACCCCTAGCTGTCTTTTGTCATGTCTTCGTCCGTGTCTCCACTAGACTCCAGCCTTTCCATTTATATCCCATCTCAAAGGGGGTTTTCTTCCTCCTTCCTGGAGAGAAGTGACCAGCCCTAGACCTTTCCAAGATACTCAGTGTAAGGTTCTTTTATTCTACTTACACTGAGACAGAATATTAGGCGCTTTACAGAGAAAGAAGGTAGACACATAACATTGGTTACACAAACAAAGGGGATATTATGTTTCACTCCACATACACACACACACACATATTTATATATATATATGTACGTTATCATCCCTTCCTTCAGATTCCATCTGAACATGAGGAAGAACTTTCTAACTGTGAGAGCCGTTCAGCAGTGGAACTCTCTGCCCGGGAGTGTGGTGGAGGTTCCTTCCTTGGAAGCTTTTAAACAGAGGCTGGATGGCCATCTATTTAACCGCTCTGAGTCCCCTCGGGGAGATGGAGCGGTATATAAAGGGGTGCTTTGAATGCAATATTCCTGCTTCTTGGCAGGGGGTTGGACTGGATGGCCCATGAGGTCTCTTCCAACTCTTTGATTCTATGATCCTTGTTCCTAGAGAAGAGAGCCAAATTCAGGGCAGTTGCATTCCCAGAAAATATGCCATTCTGCAATGTACCTTCTTTCTCTGTCCTTTGGAGAAAGCGGCAGGTGGTCAGCCGCTTCCTGTCTGCCACACTTTTGGATAGTAAAAAGATCTCTTTTTATAGCATTTTTTTGTTTCAAAAAGTTGTAAATGACTGACAGGTTGTTTTGCAACTAAAATTTGCTGATTCCATCAGTTCTGGATAGATGTTAGTTTTCCTTCAAGGAGCATTGTGTTTGCTTCCTTCACTTAAAGAATAACCGTGTAAACATGTTGTTTTCCACCACAGAGTTAATCATTGTTTCTGGCCATCAGTGTCTGCAGTTCAGTAGTTTTTCCTTCATCAACCTTTTGCAATTTTTCGTAATTTATTCTTCTTAGGATTTACTTTATTTACAATATTTATATTCCACCCTTCTCACTTCGAAGGGGACTCAGAGTGGATCACAGAACACATATACAGCAAACATTCAATGCCCTTATACTCTGACACAACAGACAACTATACATAGGTAGAGTTATTTATAGGCTTTCCCATCTTTGGCACCTTGAAGGCTTGTGTTGGGTTCCAGCCACAGTGTGCCAAAGAGTTTTTGTTTGTAAACTTCCTCCATGATCAAATCACTGGACTTTTTTGGCATTTTCTAATGCAGTGTTTCTCAACCTGGGGGTTGGGACCCCTGAGGGGTCGCGAAGGGGTGTCAGAGGGGTTGCCAAAGACCATCAGAAAACACAGTATGTTCTGATGGTCATAGGGATTCCATGTGGGAAGTTTGAGCCAATTCTATCATTGGTGGAGTTCAGAATGTTCTTTGATTGTAGTGAACTATAAATCCCAGCAACTACAACTCCCAAAAGTCAAGGTCTATTTTCCCCAGACTCCACCAGTGTTCACATTTGCACATATTGAGTATTTGTGCCAAGTTTGGTCCAGATCCACCATTGTTTGAGTCCACAGTGCTCTCTGGATATAGGTGAACTACAACTCCCAAACTCAAGGTCAATGCCCACCAAACCCTTCCAGTGTTTTCCATTGGTCATGGGAGTTCTGTGTGGCAAATTAGGTTCAAATCCATCGCTGGTGGAGTTCAAAATGCTCTTTGATTATAGGTGAACTATAAATCCTAGCAACTACAACTCCCAAATTACAAAATCAGTCCTCCCCCAACCCCACCAGTATTTACATGTGGGTGCATTGGGTATTTGTGCCCAGTTTGGTCCAGTGAATGAAAATACATCTTGCATATCTGATAATTTACATTATGATTTATAACAGTAGTAAAATGACTGTTATGAAGTAGCAACAAAAACAATGTTGGGTTGTTGTAGGTTTTTCCGGGCTATATGGCCATGTTCTGGAGGCATTTTCTCCTGACGTTTTGCCTGCATCTATGGCAAGCATCCTCAGAGGTAGTGAGGTCTGTTGGAAGTAGGAAAATGGGTTTGTATATCTGTGGAATGACCAGGGTGGGACAAAGGACTTTTGTCAATGTTATGGTTGGGGGTCACCACAATATTAAGGGGTCACGGCATTAGGAAGGTTGAGAACCACTGTTCTAATGGGTGCCTTAAATACCTCCCCGCTTAGCGGTACCTATTTATCTACTCACATTGCTGTTCTCGAATTGCTAGGTAGGTAGAAGCTGGGCTAAAGGCCAGGAGCTCACCCTGAACCGGGATTTGAATGGTCAACCTTTTGCTTGGCAAGATTTACTGCAGGTGGTGATTAACCTGCTGTACTAAAGCCCGGCCCCAACCATACACCTATCTTCAGGCCCCAACTATAGACCTTTCATACAATTTCATTCAGTTCACACATCATATTTTATTACATTATCAATGACTTGGACTCTGGAAGAGAAGGCATGCTTATCAAGCAAGCTTATTTAAGGTTGTGTGGTTATAGGTGACTGCAATCCAGACAGGAACTCATGCCTTGCAGTTGTATACGACCCCATATGATGGGATTGTGATGGGGATTAAAATGGAATACATTCTCTCCTTAATCTGTTTCTAAAGCTCCTGATTAATCAATAAACCTTGCATGGCCTTAAGTTTCCCGCTCTCGTGTCTGCTGTTTCTCCCAGTATTGGTCCTTGAGCATGAATTATGTCTGCCCGTTTTGAATGCCCATTTCCGCCGTGCATATTGAATAATAATAAGTGTTTTTGTTGTGACAATATTATATTATTCGTTCCTTTCTGTGCAGTCGCACGCTGGGCCTGTACATCAGACTGTAGACAGGACATAAATTCTGTGTGCCCAACGGGGACGCCGGGGCTGCCTCAGATTAAAGGCCTTTGGATTTCCTTAAAACAGAGTCTTTAGATTGCTTAAAGGTTCAACAAAGTTCTTTATTATTGAAAACAAACAGGGACTTTAAGGCTTTCTTAATAGTCTATTGGCTCTCTCTCTCAATCTTGTCCACAGGGAACAGGCACTATCTTCATAACTGTATTTTAGCTAATGGGGAAATCCTTAACTTCTAATCTGGGCAGCCTGTCTTTGCCTCTGTTGGCGTGGAGCCCCTGCACCCGGTACCAACTGCTTCTGGCTTCCGCGAGTGACCCTTACCAAGCAGAGCTTTGTAGACCTCCAGGGGAAAAGGAGTTCAGGTTTTGGTGATGGCTGGCTCAGCAAAGGAGCTGTAAGGCTGTATAATCCTTGGCCAAGCTACGGGACCTTTCTCCCCGGCCAAGCTGTAGAAGACGAAGCTTTCTACAGGAGCTCTTGGTTTTATGTCCTGCGTGAAAGGCTTCTCTGTATGGACTGAACCCAAACTGGCTCCTATTCCCTCCAAAACCCAAAAAGGGGGGCAGGACCAGGGAACCTAATTATAATTGACAGGTGGCTTGCCCTATGATTGCAGCCAAAAGAAGCCACCTATCTGCAGAGTCCCTGAAACTTAGGACTACAACAAACATTCAATGCAAAGCAAACAAAATTGGAACTCCTGGTACAGTTGTACCTGCACACTTTCAATGGAGGGAAAAGGTACAACAGGACAAGCAATCCTAGCAGTAGTGACTGGGATGACTGGATTAATGGGGGAATTACACAAAGAGTTTGGAAGCAGGAAAGTCTCAGAATCATCTGCAACATCTCTGGGGTCATTGATGTCCAGACTGAGAGTCATCAGCAAACGCTACTGCATGACTGAACACATTTTTCTCCCAGATATATATATATATATATAAGTGTTAACATCAGAAATGTTTTTGAATATTTTGAAATCCTATGGGTTCATCTGTACTGTAGAACTGATTGCCATGGCTCAGTTTGGTGGAATGTGTAGTTTCACGGGGTCTTTAGCCTTGTCTTGTTAAAGTTGCTGGTGCCTCCATAGCATTAGAATCATAGAATCCTAGAGTTGGAAGAGACCTCATGGGCCATCCAGTCTAACACCATTCTGCCAAGAAGCAGGAGTATTGCATTCAAAGCACCCCTGACAGATGGCCATCCAGCCTCTGTTTAAAAGCTTCCAAAGAAGGAGCCTCCATCACACTCTGGGGCAGAGAGTTCCACTGCTGAACGGCTCTCACAGTCAGGAAGTTCTTCCTCATGTTCAGATGGAATCTCCTTTCTTGTGGTTTGAAGCCATTCTTCCATTGCGTCCTAGTCTCCAGGGAAGCAGAAAAAAAGGTGCTCCCTCCTCCCTTTGCCTTCCTCTCACATATTTATACATGGCTATCATGTCTCCTCTCAGCCTTCTCTTCTTCAGGCTAAGCACACCCAGCTCTTTCAGCCGCTCCTCATAGGGCTTGTACTCCAGACCCTTGATCATTTTAGTCTCTCTCTTCTGGACACATTCCAACTTGTCAATATCTCTCTTCAATTGTGGGGCCCAGAATTGGATGCAATATTGGACATTGAGCCACGACAGTTCAGAGTTGTACCAAACTGCATTAACTCTACAGTGTAGGTGAGAACCCTAAGTTTCCAGTCAAGTCATTTCTTAGTCAAGCAGCTATGAAAACAATGTTCGCTCTGTTTAATGCATAACTGAGTTATCTAGCTGTTTTAATATGTAAACGGGTTACGGGAACGGTATGCTACTTTTAAAAAATCAATAGCGTAGGAATCCTGTATGAATTGTGTTTCGTTTTGGCCTTTCTGTTTTGTTATTTGTAACACCCACTAAGGGCCATTCTACAATGTGTATCTGTTTTGAAAAGGATGATATGGCAGTGTAGACTCATAGGATGCTTGCCATAAATGCAGGCGAAATGTCAGGAGAAAATGCCTCTAGAACATGGCCATATAGCCTGGAAAAACCTACAACAACCCACTAAAATAGTTTACTTGTGTGTTTTACTTGGAGGGAAGGTGGCCCTTGAATAACAAACTGCATTATATGGGTCTACACTGTCCATATAATGCAGTTTCAAACTGCAGTTTCCAAGCTTCCATAGCATTGAGCCATGGCAGTTCAAGTGGTGTCAAACTGTGTTAATTCTACAGTGTAGATGTAGCTGAAAAACAGTTGAGTGGCATGTCCAAGTACCAACATTTGTGCTCCGCAACAAGATGTGCACTTCTTTAAAATAGTATGTTGTGAATGAGTTGGAGCATTTATACTTGCGAAATAATAGATAAAAGACCTCACTACCTCTGAGGATGCTTGCCATAGATGCAGGCGAAATGTCAGGAGAAAATGCCTCTAGAACATGGCCATATAGCCCGAAAAAACCCCACAAGAACCTATTGATTCCAGCCATGAAAGCCTTCGACAATACAGATAAAAGATTATTATATATAATGGTGTAGTAAAATGGTGTCTCTTATATAAAATGTTGAAATCAAGGCTTAGTTTTTGGAAATTTAAAGATAATATTTTCAAGCTATGGTTGCAGAATCCATGGACAGAGAGGACCAGTTGTAATTTAAAAGCGGGGCTTTATCAACACCTAGAGTTCAAATGCAAATAGGGCAGTAGATTTGTTGTAATAAGAACCCTATTCAGTTATGAATCTGTTCAACTGTGGGTCTGAGATCATTTTCAAGGGCCGCCCTGCAAATTACCCATTACAGTAGTCCAGCTTGCCTAAGACTCTTACCCATATTGTAGAAGCCACGACTTCCACAATGGCAGCTCCCAAGACAACTGCTGCCACAACACTGACGGACAGCCCACCGCCAGAGAGACCCACCACCACCATGGTGCCACGATCCACTGTAGGGCTTGAGCAAGTCACCACTCCTGGTCCCATCACCCAGAGCAGCACCCGGCCCAAAGACACCACCACCACCACGTCTACGGTCTTGCAGGCCAGGACTTCTGAGACTGTTAAAGCAGGAAACAGATCCACAGCTGCGCCATCAGAGACAAGCGCTCCATGGAAACTAACAGGTTGGTCCCTGATGGGCTGAAACCGACACTCACTTACTAACACCAGCTAAAAACCAGCTGTCTTTTGTCATGTCTCTGTCCATGTCTCCACTAGACTCCAGCCTTTACATTTATATCCCATCTCAAAGGGGGCTTTCTTCCTCCTTCCTGGAGAGAAGTGACCAGCCCTAGACCTTTCCAAAATACTCAGAATAAGGTTCTTTTATTCTACTTACATTGAGACAGAATATTAGGTGCTTTACAGAGAAAGAAGGTAGACACACAACATTGGTAACACAAACGAAGGGGATATTACGTTTCATTCCACATTCACACACATACATACATTACCATCCCTTCTTCCCGTTCTTGGAAAACAAAACCAAACACAGGCCAGATTGCATTCCCAGCAAATCTGCCATTCTTCAGTGCGCCTTCTTTCTCTGTCCCTTGGAGAAAGCGGCAGGTGATCAGACTCTTCCTGTCTGCCACACTTTTGGATAGTAAAAAGGTCTCTTATAGAGCATATTTCTTGCTATTGTAATATTTATTTATTTATTTATTTATTTATTTATTTAGCAGTCTTCTCACCTCTGTCAAGGGACTCAGGCCGGTTTCCAACAGTAATATCACAAACAGTCATTTAAAACATCATATTACCTATTAAGCTAAAAACATTAAAATAGCAAAATGCAGACAAATAATTACAATGGTCAGTCGTCACAATAAAATCGTTGTTCGTCATTCGTCATCATCCATCCATATCACAGAATATTGACTCACCCATCGAATGCCAATTTCCAGAGCCAAGTTTTCACCTGTTTTCTGAACGTCAAGATAGAAGGGGCAGTTCTGATCTCCAGTGGGAGAGAGTTCCAGAGCCGAGGGGCCACCACCGAGAAGGCCCTGTCCCTCGTCCCCACCAGGTGCGCTTGTGAGGCTGGTGGGACCGAGAGCAGGGCCCTCCAGACGATCTTAACAATCTTGATGGTTCATAGGGGAGAATACATTCAGACAGGTAAATTGGGCTGGAGTCGTTTAGGGCTTTATAGGTTAACACCAGCACTTTGAATTGTGCTCGGAAGCTAATTGACAGCCAGTGGAGCTGGTGCAACAGAGGAGTAGTATGCTCCCTGTACCCTGCTCGTGTTAGTATTCTGGCTGCCGCTCGTTGGACTAGTTGGAGCTTCCGGGCAGTCTTTAGAGGCAACCCCCACCTCTGAAAATAATATATTTTGTTGTTCCAAAAGTTTGTAAATGACTGACAGGCTGTTTTACAGCTAAAACTTGCTGATTCCATCAGCAAGTTTTCCTTCTTAAGAAAGAAGCATTGTGTTTGCTTCTTTAACTTAAAGAATGGCTATGTAAACATGTTGTTTTCCACCACAGAGTTAATAATCGTTTCTGGTCAGCAGTTCAATAGTTTTTCTTTCATCAGCCTTTTGCAGTTTTCCACAATGTATTAATAATAATTTGGTAGAATCTGTAGTTCCACAAGGTCTTTAGTTTTGTCTTGTAAAAGTTTCTGGTGCCTCCCCAAACTGCAACTCCAAGGATTCCATAGCATTGAGCCATGACAGTTCAGAGTGATGCCAAACTGCAGTAACTCTACAGTGTGGATGAACCCTAAGTTTTCAATCAAGTTCATTTTTACTCGAGCAGCTATGAAACAATGTTATCTATGTTATGTAACCGAGTTATCTATCTGTTTTAATATGTTAACAGATTACTGAGAATGGTATGCTTTCAAAAAATCAATAGCTCAGGAATCCTGTATGAGTTGTGTTTTGTCCTGGCCTGTTGTGTTATTTGTAATAGCCACTAAGGGCCATTCTACACTGCCCTATGATCCAGATTATCAAATCATATAATCCACATTATCTGCTTTGAACTGAATCTATACTGCCATATAATCCAGTTCAAAGCTGATAATCAGGATGTTAAATGGCAGTGTAGAAGGGCCCTAAGATATAGCTCAGCAGTAATATATTATGTACAGTTGTTTAGTTTTTAGTTTTATATATCTAAAAAATTAGTTGTGTGCTTTATTTAGAGGGAGGGGGTTCTTGAATAGCAAACTGTATTATATGGGTCTACACTACTCATATAATGCAGTTTCAAACTACAGCTTCCAAGCTTCCATAGCATTGAGCCATGGCAGTTCAAGTGGTGTCAAACTGCATTAATTCTACAGTGTAGACGTAGCTGGAAAACAGATGGCGAATCAAGTACCAGCATCTATGCTCTGCAACAAGATGTGCACTCTTTAAAATAGTATGTTGTGAACAAGTTGAAGCATTGATACTTGTGAAATGAAAGGTAAAAGACATAAATAACACTTAATATTTTGTGTTTTTAATAGATTCTCCTTCAATCAGGATTGGGATTCCTTTACTAGGTAAGGAATTAGTATGTGTTTATTCGTTGCAGAAATAGAAATGTGTTACTTTTTGTGATTACAGTTCCCAGGATCCATAGGTCCATTTGTGCAGCAATACTGTTAGCTTCCTTCCTTAAACATTCTTCTTTATCTTTCTATTTCATTCTCTGGTTTCCTCCTTTATCTCATTAAACATTATTAAACACAATATTTCTGCACTTCTCTTATTTGTAAACTTTCCACTGCCTATAGTTTCCATGCAATTTTAAACTCCCAGTTTAAGTTATCAAATGATTTTTCTGCATCTATGAACACTAGTGCTGCTTTTCTTTCATTATGTTTATCTGGGTATTCAATCTCTATATGTTTTAATACATGGTCTTATGTTTTATCTATGTTTTTAACTGAGTTGTAGCCCCACCATTGTCTTCATCTTCTTTTTCTTCCTTCTTTATGTCATCTTAGCCTGTCCAGAAGTAGGAAGCAGAGACAGATAGCTTTTGTGTCATAAATGCCTATTCACTTTTAATGATTTCTTTTTTCTTTTATTAGCAGTGCTGCTTGTCATACTGTTAGCCTTCCTATTGTGGTGGCTCTATTTCCAGAAGCAAAGGTGAGTTCTTATCTTGTTGCACCTTACCATAATAATAGAAGAAACAGCTTAAATGTGAGCCAAACCATTGATTTTTTTTTGCTCAGAATCAGGCAGTCTGGTGCCTTTCACTTCTTTTTGGACTACAACTCCCATTTTCTCCAACTATTGGCCACATGGGTGGAGCTGATGGGAGTTGTGATCCAAACCATTTGGAGAGTGATGAGAGCCAATGTATGCTGGTGAGCAGAGTTTTTAAGAGGTCAAAACTCTCTCTTAAATGTGGTGAATTGAGCCACTGGCCTTTTATATGCAAATTAAATGCCACAATTGGTGAAATATATGTCCTAAGTGTTCAGGACTTTGCATGGATACATAAAACCATGCAGAATGATGAACCCTATTGAGATGAAGGACATCCAACCCAAGAATACCATAGACCTTGAAAATGCCCTCTAAGAGGACATATTTTGATAGAGACATGGATACTGGTCCCACGGATATAGCCGTCGCATTGTAAATTCATAGTAAAACAAAAGCTGGGTTGCTGTGCATTTTTTCAGACTGTATGGCCATGTTCCAGTAGCATTTTCTCCTTACGTTTCACCTGCATCTGGCTGGCATCTTCAGAGGTTCTGTTGGCAGTGAGGAAAGTGGAGTGTATATGTATCTGTGGAATGTCAACGGTGGGAGAAAGGAAATGTTGTCCATGGTGGGACAAAGAACCCTTATCTGGGTTGTTGTAGGTTTTTTTGGGCTATATGGCCATGGTCTAGAGGCATTCTCTCCTGACATTTCGCCTGCATCTGGTTACTAGTATTAAAAAACTCTAAAATTACAACAGCACAACAGAGAGAAAACAAACAAGGACATCTAATCACCTCTCAACAAAAGTTTGCTCCAGGCACTGTCAGGCCATTATATGCTAATCAAGGTGGTCAGTTGAAACATTCACACCTAGCTCCAGCAGACAAGAGTTCTTTGTCCCACCTTGGTCATTCCACAGATATATAAACCCTTTCCTAGTTCCAACAGACCTCACTACCTCTGAGGATGCTTGCCATAGATGCAGGCGAAACATGCAGGAGAGAATGCCTCTAGACCAGTGGTTCTCAACCTTTCTAATGCCGTGACCCCTTAATACAGTTCCTCATGTTGTGGTGACCCCCAACCATAACATTATTTTTTTTGCTACTTCATAACTGTAATTTTGCTCCTGTTATGAAACATAATTTGGGAGTTGTAGTTGTTGGGATTCATGGTTCACCTACAATCAAAGAGTATTCTGAATTCCACCAACTATGGAATTGAACCAAACTTCCCACACAGAACCCCATGACCAACAGAAAATACTGGAAGGGTTTGGTGGGCATTGACCTTGAGTTTGGGAGTTGTAGTTCGCCTACATCCAGAGAGCACTGTGGGCTCAAACGATGATGGATCTGGATCAAACTTGGCACGGATACCCAATATGCCCAAACGTGAACACTGATGGGGTTTGGGGAAAATAGACTTTGACATTTGGGAGTTGTACTTGCTGGGATTTATAGTTCACCTACAATCAAGGAGCGTTCTGAACCCCACCAATGATAGAATTGGGCCAAACCTCCCACACAGAACCCCCATGACCCACAGAAAATACTGTGTCTTCTGATGGTCTTTGGTGACCCCTCTGGCAGCCCTTGGAGACCCCTCCAGGGGTCCCGACCCTCAGGTTGAGAAACACTGCTCTAGAACATGGCCATATAGCCCGAAAAAACCTACAACAACCCAGTGATTCCGGCCATGAAAGCCTTCAACAATACATTGAGCCTTTTTCTGTTTATGGAATTGTGGATGTTGCAATTAGGAAGCATGAATTAGCATTTGAGTAGCCATGAAGTTTGCAAAGTCAATCAGTGAGGACATAGAGGTAGCCTGATTGACTTCGCAACCTTCACTGATTGACTTTTGAAACTTCACTAATTTGGACAATACAAACACAAAAGCTCCTTTCAGTTCCAATATTTTTAGGTCCCCAATGTGCAGCCATCTTCATCCCAGTTCTCATTTGTCTTCTTTTGCTTGACAGTGGTTCACAGAGGCAGGAAGATCTTCACCTTTCAGAAGAAACCCCAATGGCCCTCATGGCATCTGAGGACAATGGCCAAGCCAGCGATCCAGGCGACTCCTCGTCCTCTAGCGAAGGGGACCCAGTCCTACCTTCATCTTCTACTTCCACTGGGTGAACAATTGTGGAAGAACAAAACAAAACAAAGCCATGGTAGATATGGAGACAAGACAGCATGCCTGTTGGAATCACAGAAGGGAAAGATGCCTAGTCTTGATGCAACAGCAACGTTGGGGTGGTGATTCCCATTGGGAAGCCTTTGAAAAGTGGCCCTGGAAATGAATCTCAGGACCTTACTGCGGTCTCTATTCTGGTTGGACTTTTTGTTTCGCTGCTTGGGTCAAGAGCAGCTCCAATATACTGTTACAACCATTCCTACCTCTCCGGAAGTCCCTTCTTTTAAGTCGTTGAGTGCTTAAAAAATGGCAGAACGAGAGGGCCCAAATGAAAACAATCGAGAAAGAGGGGGAAAGAGAGAAGACGTGAAGTTGAGAGAAGAAAACTCTAGAGAGCAACTTGGATCAACTATGAAGACATCAACACCAGCTTTTAAGAGAGAAGAATTGACTGGTCCAGAGTCATCTCTTGGATCCATTTAGAACTTGGAAGAGAAAGGAAAGGTAAGCTGTTGAATTGATTGTTTCTGGTTATTGTTGCTTGTTGGCATCGTCATGAATAAGTTGCCCAATTCATAGCAACCCTACTCAGATTCAGAACATCCATGGCTGAGTCTACGCATCTGGAAGGTGGTTGTCCTCTTTTCCTACTATCTTTCCAATCATTATTAACTTTTTCTAGCAAGTCATCTCTTCTCGTGATATGGACAAAGTAAAAGGCTTTCACGGCCGGAATCAGTGGGATGTTGTGTGGTTTCCAGGCTGTGGGGCCACACCACACCTCAAAGTATATTGTCCTATTCTGCTGTAGGGATTTTTAAATTCATAATAACTTTCAGTTGTGGTCTTTTTCATCTCTCCAGAAGCAACCATCTCAACTGCCATTGCCCTGGCCTCGGGGGCAGAGTAGAAGTGCAGGCACAGCTGCATCATGCTTGGACTCAGAAGAAGAAGAAAGGCCATCCATCCCAACTGCCACTGCCCTGGCCTCGGGGGCAGAGTAGAAGCGCAGGCACAGCTGCATCATGCTTGGACTCAGAAGAAGAAAGGCCATCCATCCCAACTGCCACTGCCCTGGCCTCGGGGGCAGAGTAGAAGCGCAGGCACAGCTGCATCATGCTTGGACTCAGAAGAAGAAGAAAGGCCATCCATCCCAACTGCCACTGCCCTGGCCTCGGGGGCAGAGTAGAAGCGCAGGCACAGCTGCATCATGCTTGGACTCAGAAGAAGAAGAAAGGCCATCCATCCCAACTGCCACTGCCCTGGCCTCGGGGGCAGAGTAGAAGCGCAGGCACAGCTGCATCATGCTTGGACTCAGAAGGAGAAAGGCCATCCATCGCAACTGCCACTGCCCTGGCCTTGGATAGAGAGAATGAACAGGCATAGCACCATCATGCCAAAGTCCAGAAGCAGAAGAAAGGCCCCCTGTCCATCCCAACTGTCACTGCTCTAGCTGTGGAGGAAGAGAAGAGGAAAACATAACTCTATCGTATCTTGCCCCATGAACATATGAAAGACCCTCCCTTCATCTCAACTACCACTGCTGCCATTGCCCTGTCCTTGGATGAAGGGGCAGACATAGCACCATCATGCCAAAGTCCAGAAGCAGAAGAAAGGTCCTCTCTCTAACCCAACTGCCACTGCCCTAGCTGTGGAGGAAGAGAAGAAGGAAGTACAGATCCATCATGCCTAGACTCGGAATCAAAGCAAAGGCCATCCATCCCATCTGCCACTGCCCTGTCCTTGGATGGAGATAAGGGGCAGGCATAACACCATCATGCCAAGGTCCAGAAGCAGAGGAAAGGCCCTCTCTCCATCCCAACTGTCACTGTCCTAGCTGTGGAGGAAGAGAAGAGGAAAACATAACTCTATCGTATCTCGGCCCATGAACATATGAAAGACCCTCCCTTCATCTCTACTGCCACTGCCCTCACAGGAAGAGAAAATATGGCAAGGTCCAGATGCAGATGAAACACCTACCATCCATTCCTACTGCCACTGGCCTCAGGAGGTAAGAAGAGGAGCAGGCACAAATCCATCATGGCTGGACTCTTGGCAGGAGGTTGGGCTGGATGGCCCATGAGGTCTCTTCCAACTCAATGATTCTATGACTTAAAAGCAGAGGAAAGACCATCCATCCCAACTGCCACCGCCCTGGCCATGAATGGAGAGAAGAGGCAGACATAGCACTATCATGGCAAAGTCCAGAAGCAGAAGAAAAGCCTTCTCTCTCAATCCCATCTGCCACTGGCTTCAGAGGGAGAGAAGAAGCACAGATCCATCATGTCTAGACCTAGAAGCAGAGGAAAGGCCGTCCATCCCATCTGCCACTGCTCTGCCCTTGCATAGAGAGAAGGGGCAGGCATGGCACCATCATGTTAAGGTCCAGAAGCAGAAGAAAGACCTTCTCTCCATCCCAACTGCCACTGCCCTAGCTGTGGAGGAAGAGGAAAATATAACTCTGTTTTAACTCAGCCCATGAAGATATGAAAGACCCTCCCTTCATCCCAACTGCCACTGCCCTTTTCTTGGATGGAGAGAAGGAGCAGACATAGCACCATCATGCAAAGCTCCAGAAGCAGAAGAAAGACCCTCTCTTCAGCCCACTTGTCACTGCCCTAGCTGTGGAGGAAGAAAAGAGGAAAACATAACTCTATCTTATCTCAGCCCATGAAGATATGAAAGACCCTCCCTTCATCCCAACTGCCACTGCCCTTTTCTTGGATGGAGAGAAGGGGCAGATGCAGATGAAAGGCCTGCAATCCCTCATGCCAAGGTCCAGAAGCAGAACAAAGGCCCTCTCTCCATCCCAACCCTCACTGCTGTCATTGCCCTGTCCCAGGATGGAGAGAAGGGGCAGACATAGCACCATCATGCCAAGGTCCAGAAGCAGGAGAAAGGCCCTCTCTCCATCCCAACTGTCAATGCCCTAGCTATGGAGGAAGAGAAGAGGAAAACATGACTATCTTATCTCGGTCCATGAACATAGGAACTTCATCTCAACTGCCACTGACTTTTTCTTGGATGGAGAGAAGGGGCAGATGCAGATGAAAGGCCTGCAATCCCTTATGCCAAGGTCCAGGAGCAGAAGAAAGGCCCTCTCTCCATCCCAACTGCCACTGCCCTAGCTGTGGAGGAAGAGAAGAAGAAGCAGCACAGATCCAGAGGAAAGGCCATCCATCCATCCCATCTGCCACTGTCCTTTCCTTGGATAGAGAGAAGGCAGGCATGGCACCATCATGCCAAGGTCCAGAAGAAGAAAGACCCTCTCTTCATCCCGACTGCCACTACCCACAGAAGGAGAAAAGGAAAGGCAGTGTCTGCTGAACTTGCTCCCTTCCCTTTTCCTTTTGTGTCATGTTTTCCTTCGCTTGCAAACCGGAGGGCCGCGAACTAAGCTGTTTTCATTCAGTCTTTTACTTGCAAAACACTCCGTACGGAGATGCCGCTATAGAAATAAGTACGATAAGCTTTTAGTTGGAGCAAATGAGCAAAAGAAAGAAAGAAACCTCCAGACAAATCCATTGTCCGTTCTAGGACAGGCATGGGCAAACTGGGGCCCTCCAGGTGTTTTGGACTTCAACTCACACAATTCCTAACCGCCTACCGGCGGTTAGGAATTGTGGGAGTTGAAGTCCAAAACACCTGGAGGGCACCAGTTTGCCCATGCCTGTTCTAGGAAGTTCCCTGGTTAGCAAGGAAACCAACTGGGAGGAACAATGGAGTCAAGACAATATTGATTCCTGGCAGTGTTAAGTTTGCTCAGTCTTTGGCTCAGAACAGCTATTTCCACTACAATATTACAATTACTACAGTATCCAATGTTAGTGACCGCTCTTGGGTTAACTTTAGTTCTAACTTTAAGGGATGTAGCCAAGTTGTTGTGTTTTTTAATTTATTTTTCCAAATGTACTCATCATTTTCATGTATTTCTTAAACATTTTGCACAGAGGAAAGCACTTTCGAAGTATGTTGTGTTGCGTATTTTTCAGAATATGTGTTCCAAATGCAATTTTTGTTTTGCATGTTCTCGCCTGAAATACATTAAAAGTCTTGGAAACGTATGGATTTTGCCATAACAAAGGGTTTTGTCACAGGGTTTGCAAATTCTTATATTAAACTATGGATCCAATACTTTTTGCAGTTCTGCAGATTCTTTCTTTGACTTACATTATCTAACAAAATTTGAAAAATTCCTATTTAGAATCATAGAATCAAAGAGTTGGAGGAGACCTCATGGGCCATCCAGTCCAACCCCCTGCCAAGAAGCAGGAATATTGCATTCAAATGACCCCTGACAGATGGCCATCCAGCCTCTGTTTAAAAGCTTCCAAAGAAGGAGCCTCCACCACACTCCGGGGCAGAGAGTTCCACTGCTGAACGGCTCTCACAGTCAGGAAGTTCTTCCTCGTGTTCAGATGGAGTCTCCTCTCTTGTAGTTTGAAGCCATTGTTCCGCGTCCTAGTCTCCAGGGAAGCAGAAAACAAGCTTGCTCCCTCCTCCCTGTGGCTTCCTCTCACATATTTATACATGTCTATCATATCCCCTCTCAGCCTTCTCTTCTTCAGGCTAAACATGCCCAGCTCCTTAAGCCGCTCCTCATAGGGCTTGTTCTCCAGACCCTTGATCATTTTAGTCACCCTCCTCTGGACACATTCCAGCTTGTCAATAGCTCTCTTGAATTGTGGTGCCCAGAATTGGACACAATATTCCAGGTGTGGTCTAACCAAAGCGGAATAGAGCATGGGGAGCATGACTTCCCTGGATCTAGACACTAGGCTCTTATTGATGCAGGCCAAAATCCCATTGGCTTTTTTTGCCGCCACATCACATTGTTGGCTCATGTTTAACTTGTTGTCCACGGGGACTCCAAGATCTTTTTCACACGTACTGCTCTCGAGCCAGTCCTCATTGTCCCCCATTCTGTCTCTTTGCAGTACTTTAATTGTGGAGTCCTTCCTTTGAAAGTAGTTGCCCTGCTCCAGGAACTTCATTTTTGTGCCAAAGGGTAGTACTATTATTTACCTTCAGTCTAGGCACTTTGCTTGCAGTTTTCCTTAATGAAAATATGCCATTTTTAACCTTTGTCCAGTTCAATAAACTTTCTCCATGTTTTTATGATAGAACCAATTAGGGAGTGACATTTACAACACAGGAACAAAAAGTGTTATGGTGTTGACAGTGCTGCCACCTACTGGCCAGGGAAATACCTATCTATCCACATATTAATTTTTATATTTATTATATATATATATATATCACACTCATACAGTTTCCAGCTTTCCATTGTTATTTAGATGCAATAGCTGAAAACCCCACCTATTTCCCCTGGAGATATATATATATATATATATATATATATATATATATATATATATATACACACACACACATACACACACACACGTTTTATAAGAAAATCACTATGTACCATGTCTGGTGAATGGAAAATGCGTGGATGAGGCTGAAAGAAGTATGTGTATATGTGTTGTCCAAGGCTTTCATGGCCAGATTCACTGTGTTGCTCTGAGTTTTCCGGGCTGTCTGGCCATGTTCCAGAAGCACTCTCTCCTGACGTTTCGCCCACATCTATGGCAGGCATCCTCAGAGGTTGTGAGGTCTGTTGGAAACTAGGCAAGTTGAGTTTATATACGTGTGGAATAATGTCCAAAGTGGGAGAAAGAACACTTGTCTGTTGAAGGCAAGTGTGACCATCCCAACGCGATTTGCTCTATATACCGGGTCCTAGGGAAGTGCACTTGGAAAGCACCAGACGCAGGGCCTTCTCTATTTCTGCCCCTGCCTTGTGGAATTCCTTGCCTCCCTATTTGAGAGCCATGTGTGACTTAGGGCATTTTATCCTAAGTAAGACCTGGCTTTTTACTAGAGCATTTGACCCATGTTAATTTTAATATTTGTATGTATGTGTTTTATTCTGTATAATTTCTGCAATGTAAATCGCCTGGAGCATCTCGGATGGAGGGCAATTAATAAGTAATTAAAGATGATGATGATGATGAATGTTGCAATTGGCCAGCTTGATTAGCATTGAATGGCCTTGCAGCTTTAAAGCCTGGCTGCTTCAGTGCTAATCAAGGTGTCCAATTGCAAACATTCACACTTGCTTCAGACAAGAATTCTTTCTCCCACCCTGGACATTATTCTACAGATATATAAACCTCACTTACTTAGTTTCCAACAGACCTCACAATCTCTGAGTTGTTGGGGTGGGAACTGCCTTAGATGTGGGCAAAATGTCAGGAGAAAATGCTTCTGGAACATGGCCATATAGTCCGGAAAACGCACAGCAACCCTATGTGTGTATGGGTTGTTGTAGGTTTTTTGGGCTATATGGCCATGTTCTCGAGGCATTCTCTCCTGATATTTCGCCTGCATCTATGGCAAGCATCCTCAGAGGTAGTGAGCTCTGTTGGAGCCAGGAAAATTGAGTTTATATATCTGTGGAATATCCAGGGTGGGATAAAGAACTCTTGTCTGTTGGAGCTAGGTGTGAATGTTTCAACTGGCCACCTTTCTAGAACATGGCCATATAGTCCGAAAAATCTACAACAACCCAGTGATTCCAGCCATGAAAGCCTTCAACAATACTGTTAATGTAAGATTAGTGTAATGTGAATGTTTAAATGTAATTTTGTGTAATGCCTGTGAATGTAATGCCTGTGAATGTAACCTGATTGCATTAGCAGAGAGTGTATTGACTCTGAAAGATTTAATCGGTCAAGCCTCTAATGAACTGTGAAGTTGTGACCCTGAGTATGCCTGGAACACATAGGGAGGATCCAGAGATAAGATTTTGTTCATCCTTCTTACTTCGATGCTTTTGTCTTGTTTCTGTCTTCTTTTTGGTTGGGTGTCAATGCGAGTGTGTGCTGCATATTTGCTCTACTCAGTAAAGCTATATGTTTCATAGAACCATAGAATCAAAGAATCAGAGTTGGAAGAGACCTCATGGGCCATCCAGTCCAACCCCTTTCTGCCAAGAAGCAGGAATATTGCATTCAAATCACCCCTGACAGATGTTTGCTTTTACTGAAATCTCAAAGTGTCCATTCTTCTAAGCTTCAACGCTTCTGTCGCACTTTGACAAATACCTATGTGTGTATGTTTGTATACACATGCGTACAAAATAAGTCGACCAAAGGAGAAGTAAGAATTCCACATATATTGACTGTAAAAAACTGAATTCCAATGTTTTAAAGACAGGCGAGGGTTGCGTACGACTGTGAACACCAAACTGCAGAAGAACATGGAAGCTCTACACCAGGCACGGGCAAACTTTGGTGTTTTGGACACCTGGAAGGAGGGCCGAAGTTGGCCCAATTAATGCCTGATCTAAACGCATAAGGACAAAATTGTATTTCGTATTGGATGAAGAGTGGAACCAGGCCTGGAAAGTCAACATGAAATGGCACAGGACTGAATGAAAGAAACCCGCTTGCAAGAAAGCAGAAGTTGTGGTTAAGAGAGCAAACCAGGGATCCAAAGGGCAAGGCATGGTTATAATTCAGCTCTCTCAAAAGAGCAGAATGTCCAAGAACCAGCTGTGAAAAAGCCAGAGACGGTGCGTACTCTGCTTAGAAGAGGCACTTGGATCTTGTCGCACAGATCTTGCCAGACGTTGTCACTTGAATAACTCCGAGCTGAGAAGAAAATCGGTCTCTGCTTCAGTCCTGCTCCACCCAGTTCCATAATACAAATCTCAGGGAAGCCCATGAGATTGTTCTTCCCTGGAGGCGAATTCCTCTCCTCCTTGAAGCATGGGCATCTCTTCCTTAGTCTTCCTTCTCCTTCAAGGAGGAGATCAGGCAAGAGGGGAAGCTTTCAGAGCTGCATTCTCTCCCAAAACTATGGCAAAGGATACCAAGATGGTGCTTTCGAAGCCAAAGAGTTCCCACTTTACGATTCTGCTTGTTCTCCACATCTTAAGAGGAATTTTTTTGGCTTCGTTTCCCATCCAAGAAAATCTCTAACACAACGTTTGGATGGATGGGGAAGACAGAGGCAGAAGAATCCCCTCTGAATCCAGCTCAAGGGGGGATTGGGAAAGGGAAGCTGGCTGCTCCAAAATGGTTCACCAAACATAAACAGAAGACCTGGATGGACATAATTTTGGGAAATTTAGGAAGCCAAATAATACTTTTCTCCATCCAAACTGCAAAAGGTGTGCTAGTTCATGAACGATGCTCTCCAGATGGGTCTCCGCTGGCTCTTCTTTCTCGCTGGAACGCAGCAACCATGTTCTCCAAAAGCAGGCTTCGTTTCCCATCCAAGAAAATCTCCAACACAACTTTTGGATGGATGGGGAAGACAGAGGCAGAAGAATCCCCTCTGAATCCAGCTCAAGGGGGGATTGGGAAAGGGAAGCTGGCTTCTTCAAAATTGTTCACCAAACATAAACAGAAGACCTGGATGGACATAATTTTGGGAAATTTGGGAGGCCAAATAATACTTTTCTCCATCCAAACACTGCAGAAAAGTGTGCTAGTTCATGAACGATGCCCTCCAGATGGGTCATTTGAGAAAGGGAGGCTCCCTGCTCCAAACATAAACAGAAGGCCTGGGTGGGCATAATTTTGGGAAATTTGGGAGGCCAAATAATACTTTTCTCCATCCAAACACTGCAGAAAAGTGTGCTAGTTCATGAACGATGCCCTCCAGATGGGTCATTTGAGAAAGGGAGGCTCCCTGCTCCAAACATAAACAAGGCCTGGGTGGGCATAATTTTGGGAAATTTGGGAGGCCAAATAATACTTTTCTCCATCCAAACACTGCAAAAATGTGTGCTAGTTCATGAACGATGCCCTCCAGATGGGTCAATTGAGAAAGGGAGGCTCCCTGCTCCAAACATAAACAGAAGGCCTGGGTGGGCATAATTTTGGGAAATTTGGGAGGCCAAATAATACTTTTCTCCATCCAAACACTGCAAAAAAGTGTGGTAGTTCATGAACGATGCTCTCCAGATGGGTCTCCGCTGGCTCTTCTTCCTCGCTGGACCGCAGCAACCATGTTCTCCAGAAACAGAGCGTTGTAACAACAAAAACATTGTGTGTACATCTGGTGAGCCCTATTCATGGTGTGGGGTGGTTCCGACTCCCGTTCAGATCCATTCAAAGAGGATCTGCACCATCTGCGGGATCTCAATGGCTTCTTCCGCCGGGCCCAAGGCTTCCACCACTTTGGGGGCGACGGTCAACCAAGCCAGCGGACCCAGGCGGTGCTGCAGGCAGGCGTGGCAGAGGAGGCTCTCTGAGTCTGTGGTGCCATCGCTCTGCAAGAGAAACAGAACAAGAAAGTGGGGTGTCATGTGGTTTCTGGGCTGTATGGCCAATGTATCCTAGGCTCATTTACTTTTTTCATTATTATTGGTTATTCAAAATCACAAATATGCAATCCTGGATGTTTACAGTCTATGAAAAGGATGAGAGACCAGAGAAGGGGGTCAAAAGATAGATATGGAGTCGGGCAGGTTGAAAAGGAAGCCTGAAGGGTGTCGTGATAGCCATCTGTAACAATATGCAAGAATGGAAGGGTACATCTGCACTGTGGAGTTAATGCAGTTTGATACCACTTTAATTGCCATGGCTCCGTGCTGTGGAATCCTGGGAGTCGCAGTTTGATGAGACTCCAGAACTCTTTGACAGAAAAGGGAAAAGACCTTGCAATACTACAACTCCCAGGATTCCACAGCGTGGCATTACTCTAAAGAAGCCTCAACCTGCATTAACTCTACAGTGTAGAACCTGGATGTCGGGACCCTTGTGGGGGTAAAAGAGGGGGTGTCAGAGGGGTCACCAAAGACCGTCAGAAAACACAGTATTTTCTGTTGGTCATGGGGGTTCTGTGTGGGAAGTTTGGCCCAATTCTATCGTTGGTGGGGTTCAGAATGCCCTGTGATTGTAGGTGAACTATAAATCCCAGCAACTACAACTCCCAAACGTCAAGATTCTATTCTCCCCAAACTCCACCAGTGTTCACATTTGGGCATATTGAGTATTCTTGTAGAGTTTGGTCCAGATCCATCATTGTTTGAGTCCACGGTGATCTCTGGATGTAGGTGAACTACAACTCCAAAACCAAAGGACACTGCCCACCAAACCCTTCCAGTATTTTCTGCTGGTTATGGGCGAACTGTGTGCCAAGTTTGGTTCAATTCCATCGTTGGTGGGGTTCCGAATGTTCTGTGATTGTAGGTGGACTATAAATCCCAGCAACTACAACTTCCAAATGTCAAGGTCTATTTTCCCCAAATTCCACCAGTGTTCACATTGGAGCATATTGGGTATTTGTGCCAAGTTTGGTCCACATCCATCATTGTTTGACTCCACAGTGCTCTCTGGATGTAGGTAAACTACAATTCTAAAACTCAAGGTCAATGCCCACCAAACCCTTCCAGGGCTGGAGGTTTAGCACAGCTGGTAAATCACCAGCAATTATAAGATCTATCAACCGAAAGATTGCAAGTTTGAAGCCCTGAGTTGGCATGAGCTGCCAACTGTCAGCCTAGCTCATTGTTTACCTAAGCAATTCAAAAACAGCTTTAGCTGTAATTAGAAAAATTAGGTACCGCTAAAAGCGGGGGAGGCGTTTTACGATGCCATAAAGAAAGAAGATCAGAAAATGCTGGGCGACCAAAAGGAAGGAGGAAGTCCTGACGCTCTTCATCATAGAGGATGGAGCAACAGCACCCCCTGGACCCGAGCCCAACCTTCCATGGCACCAAAAACAGCTGGACACTGAGTCAAAACAAACCACCTCCTTCTGCTCTGTCTGTCTGTGTATTGTCTATACAAAGCGGCACTGAATGTTTGCCGTGTATATGTACTGGGATCCTCCCTGAGTCTCCTTTGGGGTGAGAAGGGCAGAATATAAATAAAATGTTATTATTATTATTATTGACACAAAACCACAGTATGTCACAGCAAACGAGATCTCTATGCTGGATTTCGTATCACAAAATCACAAGTCGAACCCTTCCCAAGCATCTAGGACTGTGTGATGTATTTTCGAATGATGCGCACAGATCCAAGTTAGGTGGCCTTTTGCAGTTGACGGAGCGTGATTTTGTCAATGTTTATTGTTTCCAAATGCCAGCTGAGATCTTTTGGCACGGCACCCAATGCGCCAATGACCACTGGGACCACCTGGAGTGGTTGATGCCAGAGATTTTGCAGTTCGATTTTGAAGTCTTGATAGCGGCTGAGTTTCTCCTGTTGTTTTTCCTCAATGCGACTGTCACCTGGAATGGCAACATCAATAATCCAGACTTTTTTCTTTTCCACAAAAGTGATGTCTAGCGTGTTGTGCTCCAGAACTTTGTCAGTCTGGATTCAAAAGTCCCACAGTATTTTTGCATGTTCATTTTCCACGACCTTTGCGGGTTTATGATCCCACCAATTCTTTAGTGCTGGCAGGTGGTCCTTGTGACACGTCGAGCTACTCTGGGATTCCGGATTCAGACAGGCAGAGTTTTGGAACACAAGACCCCTGAACTCATGATTGTGTTAAAAAACAAAGTATGGATTGTTGATGTTGCCATCCCAGGTGACAGCAGGATTGAAGAGAAACAACTGGAAAAGTTGACACGATATGAGGATTTAAAGATCGAACTGCAAAGACTCTGGCACAAAGCAGTCGAGGGCGTCCCAGTGGTGGCCAGCACACTGGGTGCAGTGCCTAAAGACCTTGGCCTGCACTTAAACACAATTGGCGCTGACAAAATGACCATCTGCCAGCTGCAAAAGGCCACCTTACTGGGATCTGCACGCATTATTTGCTGATACATCACACAGTCCTAGACTCTTGGGAAGTGTCCGATGTGTGATTCAATACAACAGCCAGCAGAGTGTCTGCTGTGGACTCATGTTGTTGTTGTTGTTGTTGTTATTATTATTGGTTTTCCCATAACATTAAGTCTAGTCGTGTCTGACTCTGGGGATGGTGCTCATTCCCATTTCTAAGCTGAAGAGCCGGCGTTGTTCGTAGACACATCCAAGGTCATGTGGCCAGCATGACTGCATGGAGTGCCGTTACCTTCTCGCCGAAGCGGCACTTATTGATCTATTCACATTTGCATATTTTCGTACTGCTAGCTTGGTAGAAGCTGGGGCTAACAGTGGGAGCTCACCCAGCTCCCTGGATTCGAATCATTAACCTATCGGTCAGCAAGTTCAGCAGCTCAGCAGTTTAACTCTGTTCCATCAGGGTGCCCATCATACAAACCAACCAAGACATATTTTTGTATTTTATGTTATTTTATTTTATGATTTTCTGTTGTATTGTCGAAGGCTTTCATGGCCAGAATCACTGGGTTGTTGTAGGTTTTTTCGGGCTATATGGCCATGGTCTAGAGGCATTCTCTCCTGACGTTTCGCCTGCATCTATGGCAAGCATCCTCAGAGGTTGCTTGCCATAGATGCAGGCGAAACGTCAGGAGAGAATGCCTCTAGAACATGGCCATATAGCCCGAAAAAACTACAACAACCCATTTTCTGTTGTGTTTTTGTGTTATATTGTGTTTTCTATATTGATGGGCCTGGCCTCATGTAAGCCCCCCCGAATCCCCTTTGGGGAGATGGTGGCGGGGTATTAATAAAGACTATTATTATTATTATTATTATTATTATTATTATTATTATTATTTGCAAAGAAAGAATTGCATCAAGTACAAAAAAACCCCCAATTTTTTCTTAATATGAAACACAACACTACAACAACTAACAAGACTACTAAACCAATCCAATGCACAAAACATACCTACAACACTATCAAATATAGAAACTGATCTACCGACCTGCCATTCTCTGTCTGATGTTTTTGAGTTCTGACTAGTTTTTCTCCCTTTAAGAAATATTTTATCACCCCACATCTGTATATAGTAACATATTACTAGCTCAGGAATACGTATACTTACATAAACAAAGGGCATTTTCCTCATGGTCAAAAGTGATTCTGGAGGGATGTCATTGAGGCAGCCCCGCACAGAGCATTTCACTGGCCCGTCTTTGCAGACATCGCTTGTCAATTCAGGCCGCAAAAAATACTCCTGGAGACGAACAGAAGAATTATAGTGGAATTAGATAAGTGAAAAACAAAATGAGGGATTTCTGGCATCGGCCTTTGGGAATAATTCCTAGTTTTAGAACAATGGCAGACTGGCTTGAATGGAGTCACATCACTGATCTACCTAGTCCAATACACAGTAAGTCCATGTATCATGCAATAGATCCATCCTGTTAAGATGATGCTCCATGCACAATCAGGAACCTTATTTTCCATACCTGAAATGAACCACATCTTGGTTTTCCAACTTAACGATGCCTAGAGAACTGTTCCAGCATGATTCCATGGTCAATATTTTATTAATTTTACCTATAATATAATATAATATAATATAATATAATATAATATAATATAATATAATATAATATTGTATATACATATAATATTTATAATATTATAATGTAATACAAAACAAAATGAGAGCCCCCGGTGGCGCAGTGGGTTAAAGCGCTGAGCTGCTGAGCTTGTTGACTGAAAGGTCGCAGGTTCGAATCCGGGGAGCAACGTGAGCTTCTGCTGTCAGCCCCAGCTTCTGCCAACCTAGCAGTTCGAAAATATGCAGATGTGAGTAGATCAATAGGTACTGCTCCGGCAGGAAGGTAATGGTGCTCCATGCAGTCATGCTGACCACATGACCTTGGATGTGTCTATGGACAACGCTGGCTCTTCAGCTTAGAAATGGGGAGGAGCACCACACCCCAGAGTCGGACATGACTGGACTTAATGTCAGGGGAAAACCTTTCCCTTTCCCTATATTATATTATTAGAATAGCACAGGGGACAAGGTGGAACTGTCTTCTGGTCTGGTCCCCTCTCTCTTCACTCTGGCCCAGAGCAGCAAATCGTGCTAGGGAGAGGGGTCCCCAAGTGATGACATATGCAAGAGACATATAGAATCATAGAATCAAAGAGTTGGAAGAGACCTCATGGGCCATCCAGTCCAACCCCATTCTGCCAAGAAGCAGGAATATTGCATTCAAATCACCCCTGACAGATGGCCATCCAGCCTCTGTTTAAAAGCTTCCAAAGAAGGCCTCCACCACACTCCGGGGCAGAGAGTTCCACTGCTGAACGGCTCTCACAGTCAGGAAGTTCTTCCTGTTCAGATGGAATCTCCTTTCTTGTAGTTTGAAGCCATTGCTCCACGTCCTAGTCTCCAGGGCAGCAGAAAACAAGCTTACTCTCTCCTCCCTGTGGCTTCCTCTCACATATTGATACATGGCTATCATGTCTTCTCTCAGCCTTCTCTTCTTCAGGCTAAAATCATAGAATCATAGAATCAAAGAGTTGGAAGAGACCTCATGGGCCATCCAGTCCAACCCCCTGCCAAGAAGCAGGGATATTGCATTCAAATCACCCCTGACAAATGGCCATCCAGCTCCTTAAGCCGCTCCTCATAGGGCTTGTTCTCCAGACCCTTGATCATTTTAGTCGCCCTCCTCTGGACACATCCCAGCTTGTCAACATCTCTCTTCAATTGGGGTGCCCAGAATTGGACATAATATCATAATGTAATACAATATAATACTAGTAATAATAATAAAATATTGTAATTATATATTTTATATTACATATAATATTATTAATAATATTGCAATATAATGGTATAGTACAATATAGTAATATACTAGCTGTCCCCTGCCACACGATGCTGTGGCCCAGTCTATTGATCTGGAAAATAAAGTAATGAGAAAGCGTTGGTTTCTACTATATGTAATTTCTTTATTCTTGTGGGTAAACAGTATTTCTTGCTGTTTTTTTTGTCAGTGTTGATGCGGAGAGTGTCTGGTTTGCCTACTCTGGAACATGCAACATATCATTGTCCTTCTTCAGGGGTCCCTTTCAAATCTATGATGTTATGTGTGTGTGTGAATCATATCTATCTATATCTATGGCTGGATGGCTCTTTGTCAGGAGGGCTTTGATTACGTTTTCTTGCCCTGGTGAAGTGAGTTGGACTGGATGGCCTTGAGTATTTTCTTTTGGTCATGGGGTTTCTGTGTGGGACGTTTGGCCCCATTCTGTCATTGGTGGGGTTCAGAACACTCTTTGATTATAGGTGAACTATAAATCCCAGTAACCAGAACTCCCAAATGTCAAGGTCTATTTCTCTTAAACTCCATCTATGTTCATATTTGGGCATATGGAATATTTGTGCCAGGTTTGGTCCAAATCCATCATTGTTTGAGTCCACAGTGCTCTCTGGATGAAGATGAACTACAACTCCCAAACTCAAGGTCAATGCCCACCAAACCCTTCCAGTATTTTCTGTTGGTCATGGGAGAACTGTGTGCCAAGTTTGGTTCAATTCCATCGTTGGTGGGGTTCAGAGTGCTCTTTGATTGTAAGTGAACTACAAATTCCAGCAACTACAACTCCCAAATGACAAAATCAATGTTTTTGAGTGAAGGACATACATTGGGTTTTTAGGTGTCTTGTGTCCAAATTTGGTGTCAATTCGTCCAGTGGTTTTTGAGTTCTGTTAATCCCACAAACGAACATTACATTTTTATTTATATAGATATTGCAATATAATGGTATACTACAATATAGTATTATATAATATTGATATTGTACTATGCTAATAATATAATGTATGTATATGTATCTTGTAAGCCGCTCTGAGTCCCTTTTGGGGAGAGAAGGGCGGCATATCAATGTCATAAGTAAGTAAGTAGGTAAATAAATAAATATTTTAGGAAACTTGGCCATTAAAAATTACATTCAAGGCCCCCAACAAACAACCCTGAAAGGCTGGCCGGTCAGGGCCAGCTTGCACTCACCCCAGCCATTGTCAAGAGATGGCTTAGGAATTTGGGCAGGACGAGGCGCTTTTTGGCACGGGTGACGGCGACATAGAGCAGGTTCCACTCGTCAGCGGGAACGGTGTCTGAAAAAGTAAGAAGGCAGGAGACACGTCGGAAATGGAAGGAAAAGGCTCAAACTCTCTTGCTTTCTGTGTTTATTTTCCTGTGGGAAATAAGTTATAGGCTCAGATTAAACAACATTGAGGATGGCCTCTCATCGCTTAACCAAATGGTAGATCCCAAGGTTTGTTTATTTATTTATTTAAAATCACTATTGACCGAAAGATTATGAGTTCAAAACCGGTCCGGGATTGACCTTTGCTCATCATGACCCAGCAGTCCAGCGCAAGCCTCTGAAAAACAGAGCTGCGTTCCTGGAATTGAGACTCTCGACTGCGGCACGGTTACGAAAGGTAAAGTGATTTACCTTTATGGCTAAAGATAAAGAGACTATTCTTGTTATGTTTTTATACCTGGTGAAGCAGGGCTTGTGTCACACACTATAAATATGGTCACAACACCAGGGTCACGCTGAATTTCATCAGATTTGAGAAGATAAGCAGGTTCAGGAGGCCACTGTGCGAAAATATGGGATTGTTCAAGTTTTGGCCACGGGATCGGCCTCAAATACTACAGAGCTACAAGTTCAAGTTCAAATAGACCAAAGACCTTGTGGTGATGCAATGGGTTAAACCAGTGGTTCTCAACCTGGGGTCCCCGGATGTTTTTGGCCTACAACTCCCAGAAATCCCAGTCAGTTTATCAGCTGTTAGGATTTCTGGGAATTGTAGGCCAAAAACATCTGGGGACCCCAGGTTGAGAACCACCGGGTTAAACCCTTGTGTTGCTGAACTGCTGATCTGAAGGTTGGCAGTTCGAATCCACAAGATGGGGTGAGCTCCTGCTGTCTGCCTTAGCTCCTGCTAACCTACCACTTACAAAACATGCAAATGTGAGCAGTTAAATAGGTACTGCTTTGTCGGGAAAAGGCAAAAAGACGATCAACGCAATCTTGCCAGCCACACAACCAGGAGGTGTTTACAAAAATGCAAGCTCTTTGGCTGACTGAAAGGTTAGCAGTTTGAATCTGGGGAGCAGGGTGAGCTCCCACTGTTAGGCCCAGCTCCTGACAACCTAGCAGTTTGAAAACATGTAAATGTGAGTAGATAGGTACTGCTGTGGTAGGAAAAGGCAAAGGGACACTCCTAGCAATCTTGCCAGCCACACAACCAGGAGGTGTTTACATCAATGCAGGCTCCTTGGGGCTTGGAAATGGAGAATAGCACCTCTCCCATAGCCAGAGATGGGCACCACCCTCCAGAACAGGAAATGAAAGGAGAAGCCTTTGCCTTTGCCTTTGTATTTGTGTTTCATTGTGTTTCCATTTGTAACAAGGCATTGAATGTTTGCCTGTGTTTGTGTATATGTTTACTCTGAGTCCCCTTGGGGAGATCTTTATTATAGATCTTTATTATTAGGTGAGAGGAGGCGGAGTAGCCTTATATGTCAAAAACTCTTATGCTGCAGAAGAGATTCAAGACAGCAATCTGGGAAACCAGCTTGAAATCATCTGGATAAGAATCAAGGGAACTGGGACTCAAAAAGATGTCGTTGTAGGCATCTACTACAGACCCCCAAGCCAGGAGGAAGAACTTGATGAAGTCTTCTGCCAACAGTTGACCAAACAGGCACAGAGAAGAGATGTAGTAGTCATGGGCGATTTCAACTATCCTGATATTTGCTGGAAAACAAACTCGGCCAAGAGTACAAGGTCCAACAAATTCCTCGCTTGCCTTGCAGACAATTTCATGGTCCAGAAGGTAGAAGAGGCAACAAGGGGATTGGCTACTCTTGATCTCATCCTAACAAATGCGGAGGACCTGATCGATGCGGTCGAAGTGGTAGGATCCTTAGGGGCAAGTGACCATGTGCTCCTGCAATTTCAGGTACAAAGGAAGGCCGAGACTAAGACAAGTCAAACCCGCATTTTGGACTTTAGGAGAGCTGATTTCCAAAAAATGAAGGAAACGCTGAGCAGCATTCCGTGGACACAGATACTAAAAGACAAGGGAGTTACGGATGGATGGGAATTTCTCAAGAGTGAAATACTCAAGGCGCAATTGCAAACTGTGCCAACAAAGAGAAAAAATAGGACAAGTGCAAAGAAGCCAGAATGGATGTCCAAAGAACTTCTAACTGTGCTAAAACATAAAAGAGACATGCACAAGAAGTGGAAAAAGGGAGAAATCACCAAAGAAGAATTCAAACAAATAGCCAACACCTGTAGGGAAAAGGTCCGCAAGGCTAAAGCACAAAACGAGCTCAGGCTTGCCAGGGACATTAAAAACAATAAAAAGGGCTTCTATTCTTATGTCAGTAGAAAAAGGAAAAACAAGGAGGCGATAGGACCTCTTCGCGGAGAAGATGGGGCAATGCTGACAGGGGATAGGGAAAAGGCAGAACTACTTAATGCCTTCTTTGCCTCGGTCTTCTCACAAAAAGAGAGTCTTCAACCTCAGCAAGATGGAGTGGATGAGGGATTGGAGGACATCCAACCCCAAATTGGGAAAGAAGTCGTCCAGGAATACCTGACCGCTCTTAATGAGTTCAAGTCCCCAGGGCCAGATCAACTACACCCCAGAGTATTGAAGGAACTAGCGGAAGTCATTTCGGAACCATTGGCAACCATCTTTGAGAGTTCTTGGAGAACGGGAGAAGTTCCAGCAGATTGGAGGAGGGCCAATGTGGTCCCAATCTTCAAGAAGGGAAAAAAGGATGACCCAAACAACTACCGTCCGGTCAGCCTCACGTCGATACCGGGCAAGATTCTGGAAAAGATTGTTAAGGAAGTGGTCTGCAAACACTTAGAAACAAATGCAGTCATCGCTAATAGTCAACATGGATTTATCAAAAACAAGTCATGCCAGACTAATCTGATCTCTTTTTTCGATAGAGTTACAAGCTGGGTAGATGCGGGAAATGCCGTGGATGTAGCGTACCTGGATTTCAGTAAGGCCTTCGACAAGGTCCCCCATGACCTTCTGGCAAGGAAACTAGTCCAATGTGGGCTAGGCAAAACTACGGTGAGGTGGATCTGTAATTGGTTAAGTGGACGAACACAGAGAGTGCTCACTAATGCTTTCCTCTTCATCTTGGAAAGAAGTGACGAGTGGAGTGCCGCAGGGTTCCGTCCTGGGCCCGGTCCTGTTCAACATCTTTATTAATGACTTAGATGAAGGGCTAGAAGGCATGATCATCAAGTTTGCAGACGACACCAAATTGGGAGGGATAGCCAATAGTCCAGAGGACAGGAGCAGAATTCAAAACGATCTTGACAGATTAGAGAGATGGGCCAAAACTAACAAAATGAAGTTCAACAGCGACAAATGCAAGATACTCCACTTTGGCAGAAAAAATGAAATGCAAAGATACAGAATGGGTGACGCCTGGCTCGAGAGCAGTACGTGTGAAAAAGATCTTGGAGTCCTCGTGGACAACAAGTTAAACATGAGCCAACAATGTGATGTGGCGGCAAAAAAAGCCAATGGGATTTTGGCCTGCATCAATAGGAGCATAGTGTCTAGATCTAGGGAAGTAATGCTACCCATGCTCTATTCTGCTTTGGTTAGACCACACCTGGAATATTGTGTCCAATTCTGGGCAGCACAATTCAAGAGAGATATTGACAAGCTGGAATGTGTCCAGAGGAGGGCGACTAAAATGATCAAGGGTCTGGAGAACAAGCCCTATGAGGAGCGGCTTAAGGAGCTGGGCATGTTTAGCCTGAAGAGGAGAAGGCTGAGAGGAGACATGATAGCCATGTATAAATATGTGAGAGGAAGCCACAGGGAGGAGGGAGCAAGCTTGTTTTCTGCTTCCCTGGAGACTAGGACGCGTAGCAATGGCTTCAAACTACAAGAGAGGAGATTCCATCTGAACATGAGGAAGAACTTCCTGACTGTGAGAGCCGTTCAGCAGTGGAACTCTCTGCCGGAGTGTGGTGAAGGCTCCTTCTTTGGAAGCTTTTAAACAGAGGCTGGATGGCCATCTGTCAGGGGTGATTTGAATGCAATATTCCTGCTTCTTGGCAGGGGGTTGGACTGGATAGCCCATGAGGTCTCTTCCATTCTTTGATTCTATGATTCTATGATTCTATGATTATGATTATGATTATGATGATGATGATGATTATTATTATTATTATTAAGATTAGACACTCTGCTACCTAAGCCATGAAAACTATATTTTTGTGGTGATGCAGCGAGTTAAATCGCTGAGCTGCTGACCTTGCTGACTGAAAGCCATTTGAATCTAGGGAACAGGGTAAGCTCCCACTGTTAGGCCCAGCTCCTGCCAACCTAGCAGTTTGAAAACATGCAAATGTGAGTAGATAAATAGGTACTGCTGTGGCAGGAAAGAGCAAAGAGACACTCCAAGAAATCTTGCCAGCCAAACAACCAGGAGGTGTTTACATCAATAATAATAATAATAATAATAATAATAAAACTTTATTTATACCCCGCTACCATCTCCCCAGGGGATTCGGAGAAGCTTACATGACGCCAAGCCGACAACACATCAATAAAACAACAAGGAATAATTAAAAAAAACAATTAATATAACTCACATATAAACAATACACGCAAGGATTTAAGAAACCTATACAGGCTCCTTGGGGCTTGGAAGCAGAGAAAAGCATCTCTCCCATAGCCAGAGATGGGCACCACCCTCCAGAACCGGAAATGAAAGGAGAAGCCTTTGCCTTTGTCTATGTATTTGTGTTTCACTGTATTTCTATTTGTAACAAGGCACTGAATGTTTGCCTGTGTTGATGTATATGTTGTACTCTACTCTGAGTCCCCTTGGGGAGAAGGGCAGAATATAAATAATAATAATAATAATAACAATAATAATAATAACAACAATAATAAGATTAGACACTCTATTATTAGTAGTATTACACTGTATTACATTATATTATAAATATTATATGTATATACAATACATTATATTATATAATGCAAAACGTAATATAAAATATATAATTATAATATCATTTTTAATTTATTATTTATGACATTTATATGCCGCCCTTCTCACCCCGAAGGGGACTCAGAGCAGCTTACAAGATACATATACATTCAATATATTATATTATTAGCATAGTACAATATCAGTATTATATATTACTATATTGTCCTATACCATTATATTGTAATATTATTAGTAATATTACAGGTAATATAAAATATATAATTATAATATATTACTATTAGTATTACATTGTATTACATTATAATATTATAAATATTATATGTATATACAATATATTATATTACATTATATCATATTATATTATCAGGAAAAGTTTATTACACTGCCAAGACATCTGTTTTTGTGGGACATACTTCAATATATTATATTATTAGGAAAACTTTATTAAACTGCCAAAACATCTGTTTTTGTGGGACATACTTCAATATATTATTTTATTAGGAAAACTTTATTAAACTGCCAAAATATCTGTTTTTGTGAGACATACTTCAATACATTTCATCCTTGTATTTCAATGAATATATCATTGAGCCTCGACCAATTCAACCTAGTTTGTGGCAGCCACAAAAACAACGTTTCTGGAGTAGAACAACTACTTTCAAAGCAAGGATTGCACAAATAAACAGGAAATAACACTTTCAAATCAGGAACAGAACATTTCTCAAATTTTTGGCATAGTGTAATGGATATAATTGGGGGTGTCTTACCAATGCGAAACATGGGCAGCCTCAAGAGATTGTGCCAGGCAAGAGGGATGGTCACAAAGTCATTCGCTACTTGGACAACGTCGAATTCCATGCCTTTGGACTTATGGACGGTTCCCAGGACATAATCTGTAACACAAAGAGAAAACGCTGAGCTGCTTTTCCAATAAGGCAGTGGTTCTCAACCTGGGGTCCCCAGATGTTTTTGGCCTACAACTCCCAGAAATCCCAGCCAGTTTACCAGCTGTTAGGATTTCTGGGAGTTGAAGGCCAAAAACATCTGGGGACCCCAGGTTGAGAACCACTGCAATAAGGCATTTCATACACCTCCCATCACTCCTACCATTGGTTATACGAATTAGGGATGATGGGAGAGGCAGTCCAACAATGTACAGAGGACTCCACAATCTCTATCTGTTATAAATAACCCTAGGACTCATGGACACGGCCCAGTGAGGCAGGCAAGGTTTATTGCCATCTCAATCCACACAGGCAGATTGTACTACTAAAGCAAAAGTGTGGAGAAAATGTAACCCATAAGTCAATCAGCAAGCCAAACAATAATTTTTTTAAAAAAAATCTGGGATAAATGAAGACATTTTGGCCACTTTTTTGTGCCCCATTCCAGGCCATTTAAGTCCAGAAAATGCCCTTTTAAGAATAGAAAGTAACTTCCCAGTTTCATCCTGTGGTTAAAAAAACCTGTTTTTATGGTCTAGAATGATGGGGGATCAAAATGTCCCCATGGCTTTTAAATGGATTATTACTATTACTATTACTATTATTGTTCTTGTTGTTCTTGTTGTTATCTTATTTGTATCCTTCAATCAAGACACAAAGCAGCTCACAATGTGTGTGTGTATATAACACATTATTGCTGTTATTTACTTATTTGTATCCTTCAATTGAGATGAAATGCAGTTCACAATGTGTGTGTATGTATATATATATATATACACACACACACACGTTGTTGTTACTTTCTTATTTGTATCCTTCAATTGAGATGCAAAGCAGCTCACAATGTGTGTGTGTTTATGCACATTGTTGTATTTATTTACTTATTTGTATCCTTCAATTGAGATGAAATGCAGTTCATAATGTGTGTGTATATGTGTGTGTGTGTGTATATATATATATATATACACACACACACGTTGTTGTTACTTTCTTATTTGTATCCTTCAATTGAGATACAAAGCAGCTCACAATGTGTGTGTGTTTATGCACATTGTTGTATTTATTTACTTATTTGTATCCTTCAATTGAGATGAAATGCAGTTCATAATGTGTGTGTATATGTGTGTGTGTGTATATATATATATATATATACACACACACACACACGTTGTTGTTACTTTCTTATTTGTATCCTTCAATTGAGATACAAAGCAGCTCACAATGTGTGTGTGTTTATGCACATTGTTGTATTTATTTACTTATTTGTATCCTTCAATTGAGATGAAATGCAGTTCACAATGTGTGTGTGTATGTGTGTGTATATATATATATATATATACACGTTGTTGTTACTTTCTTATTTGTATCCTTCAATTGAGATACAAAGCAGCTCACAATGTGTGTGTGTTTATGCACATTGTTGTATTTATTTACTTATTTGTATCCTTCAATTGAGATGAAATGCAGTTCATAATGTGTGTGTGTATATGTGTGTGTGTATATATATATATATATATATATATACACACACACACGTTGTTGTTACTTTCTTATTTGTATCCTTCAATTGAGATACAAAGCAGCTCACAATGTGTGTGTGTTTATGCACATTGTTGTATTTATTTACTTATTTGTATCCTTCAATCAAGACGCAAAGCAGCTCACAATATGTGCATATATATACACATTGTTGTTATTTACTTATTTGTATCCCTTCAGATGCAAAATAGCTCACAATGTGTGTGTATACACATTGTTGTTGTTGTTATTTACTTATTTGTATCCTTCAATCAAGACACAAAGCAGCTCACAATGGGTTTATATATGCACATTGTTGTTGTTGTTGTTGTTATTCACTTATCTGTATCCTTCAATCGAGATGCAAAGCAGGTCACAATGTGTGTGTGTATGTATATATACATACACACACACATTGTTGTTGATGTTGTTGTTATTTTCTTATTTGTATCCTTCAATCAAGATGCAAAGCAGCTCGCAATATATGGATGTGTCTATCTATTTAACTATCTACCTATCTATCTGTCTATATATATATATGAGAGCCCCCAGTGGCACAGTGGGTTGAACCACTGAGCCGCTGAACTTGCTGACTGAAAGGTTGGTGGTTCAAATCCAGGAAGCAGGGAAGCTCCCACTGTTAGCCCCAGCTTCTGCCAACCTAGCAGTTCAAAAACATGCCAACGTGAGTGGATCAACAGGTACTGCTTCTGTGGGAAGGCAATGGTGTTCCATGCAATCATGATGGCCACATGTCTTTGGAGGTGTCTACGGATAACGCCAGCTCTTCGTCTTAGAAATGGAGATGAGCATCACCCCACAGAGTCGGACTTGACTAGACTTAATGTCAAGGGGAAACCTTTATAACATTATTATCAGTGTTATATGTGTAAACAATATATTATATTATTAGCACAGCATAATATTAGTATTATATATTACTATATTATACTATACCATTAGACTGCAATATTATTATTAATATTAGTATTATATGTAATTAAAATATATAATTCTTATATTGTATTAGTATTATATTGTATTACATTATAATATTATCAATATTATATGTATATACATAATATTATATTATTAACAAAGCACAACATCAATAATATACATATATTGGGGGGACTCTTAGTATTAGTATTATATATTACTATATTTTACTATACCACTATATTGCAATATTATTATTAATTATTATTAATATTATATGTAATTAAAATATATAATTCTTATATTGTATTATTATTATATTGTATTACATTATAATATTAACAATATTATGTGTATATACATAATATTGTATTATTAACAGAGCACAACATCAATACTATATATATATTGGGGGACTCTTAGTATTAGTATTATATATTACTATATTTTACTATACCACTATATTGCAATATTATTATTATTATTATTAATATGATATGTAATTAAAATATATAATTCTTATATTGTATTAGTATTATATTGTATTACATTATAATATTATCAATATTATATGTATATACGTAATATTATATTATTAACAAAGCACAACATCAATAATATACATATATTGGGGGGACTCTTAGTATTAGTATTATGTATTACCATATTTTACTATACCACTATATTGCAATATTATTATTAATTTTATATGTAATTAAAATATATAATTCTTATATTGTATTATTATTTGTATTATATTGTATTACATTATAATATTATCAATATTATATGTATATACATAATATTATATTATCAACAAAGCACAACATCAATAATATAGATTTATCAGGCTTTTGTTTTTGGCTGGAGGGGAAATAGCGTTGCTGGATGGAAAACTGCAGCATTTTTCTATGTCTTTAATCTTTGTGCAGAAGAAACAGGTTGCTTGCAAGAGAGATGTGGAAGTGACCTTTTCCATGCAAGCATTTCAAGGGTTCAAAATGGGGGTTCCCCATTACCTGCCATCTCGGGATAGGGGGCATGATGCCGTTTGATCCTCTCCAATAGCTCTGGGATGCGTTCCCGGTATTTCTCCACGATGGCGATCTTCATCTCCAGCTGCTTGTCCTCCGACTTGACCATGTAGTCCTTGAGGGCGGAGAAGCCCTTCTCGACCCACCGCCGGAGGAAGGAGTCCTTCACCTCCAGCCCCACTGAGAGAAAAGGAAAAGAGGCAGCAATGGATGAGCATAACTCAATGCCACAAAGGGCGTGTCTACATCGCAGAACGAATGCAGTTTAATACCACATTAACTACCATGGCTCCATGCTATGGAATCCTGGGGGTTGTCATTTGGTGAGGACACAACACTCTTTGGCAGAGAAGGCTACAATCCCAATGTCTCAGTACAGAGTCATGGCAGTCAAAGTGGTATCAAACTGTATTAATTCCATAGTGTAGATGGACCCAAAGACAGGACCTGTGTCATGGCCTTTGATTCCTCCCTGCTGCTTCAACTGGATACTAGTACACAGAGGGCTTAGATGAGTGGTGGTCATAGAATCATAGAGGTGGAAGAGACCTCATGGGCCATCCAGTCCAACCTCTTTCTGCCAAGAAGCAGGAAAATAGCATTCAAAGCTCCCCCGACAGATGGCCATCCAGCCTCTGGGTTGTTGTAGGTTTTTTTCGGGCTATATGACTATGGTCTAGAGGCATTCTCTCCTGACATTTTGCCTGCATCTATGGCAAGCATCCTCAGAGGTAGTGAGAGTAGTGAGGATGCTTGCCATAGATGAAGGCGAAACGTCAGGAGAGAATGCCTCTAGACCATGGCCATATCGCCCGAAAAAACCTACAACAGTCCAGCAATTCCGGCCATGAAATCCTTCGACCATACATCATCCAGCCTCTGTTTCAAAGCCTCCAAAGAAGGAGCCTCCACCACACTCTGGGGCAGAGAGTTCCACTGCTGAACGGCTCTCACAGTCCCCTTTCCTGTAGCTTGAAGCCATTGCTGCATTGTGTCCTAGTCTCCAGGACAGCAGAAAACAAGCTTGCTTCCTCCTCCCTATGACATTTTGATATAGATTGTGTTCTGCTCGCCTGAGCTAACTTTCAGGTGCCCAATTCTCGACGAGTTGGAAATTCACAAGAAAAATGCATAACAATAAACAAAAATAATTTAATTGTATGAAAGATCAGTACCCTAACTTCTCCCAGAGTCTGACTAATAAACCAATACTTTGAAGGAACAGATGGGAACTCAGAACTTAACTGATATTAAGTTAAGTTCTGAGCCGCTGTGGCTGTCTGGATGAGGAACAAGCTGAGGATCAACCCCGACAAGACAGAGGTCCTCCTGGTTGATCGTAAACCGTATTGGGGTATAGGGTGGCAACCTGTGCTGGATGGGGTTACACTCCCCCTGAAACCACAGGTCCGTAGTTTGGGAGTCCTCCTGGACTCATCACTGACGCTTGAAGCTCAGGCATCGGCGGTGGCCAGGAGGGCCTTTGCACAATTAAGACTCATGCCCAGCTGCGACCGTACCTCGTGAAGGCGGATTTGGCCAGGGTGGTCCATGCCTTAGTCACCTCCAGATTGGACTACTGTAATGCACTCTACATGGGGCTGCCCTTGAAAATGGCCCGGAAATTCCAATTGGTACAACGAGCAGCAGCCAAGTTACTAACTGGTGCTCCTTACAGGGAGCGGTTAACCCTCCTGTTTAAGGAGCTCCACTGGCTGCCATTCATTTTCCGGTCCCAATTCAAGGTGCAGGTTCTTACCTACAAAGCCCTAAATGGTTTGGGACCCGCCTACCTGCGTGACTGCATCTCTGTGTACGAACCCACACGATCTCTTTGATCATCCGGAGAGGCCCTGCTCACGCTCCCGCCTCTTTCGCAGGCGCGATTGGTGGGGACGAGGGAGAGGGCCTTCTCGGTGGTGGCCCCCCGACTCTGGAACTCACTTCCAGAGACATCAGACATGCCCCAACTCTGGCAGTCTTTAGGAGGAGCTTGAAAACGTGGTTGTTCCAGTGTGCCTTCCCAGAATAAGGAAAACTCTCAGCATTATGTCCTCAAAATGCACTTTACTACTGCTTTAGGATTGACTGCATTCCCTCATTCTCTCTAAAAATCATATCCCAATTATATCCTACCTGGTTCACATCAGCACTATTTCTTAATTGTAATCTATCACATTTGGCCCGGCCTTTGGTTTTAAATGTTTATATGTTACTGTTGATTGCTTATTGTCTATTTTGTTTATGTGATTATGATTTCTATTGCATTGATTGTTTATTGATGTTTTATTTTATTGATGTTCTGTTTATTGATGTATTGCGGGCTTGGCCTCATGTAAGCCGCACCGAGTCCCTTGAGGAGATGGTAGCGGGGTACAAATAAAGTGTTGTTGTTGTTATTGTTGTTGTTGTTGTTATTATTATATTCTCTTGATTACTTTAGAAGGGATCTTCCTTTCTGCCCTCTTTCCTGTGCCCTTTATCTGGCTGTCTTCCCAAAACTACAGACGGGTGTCTCCCAAACCTTTGATTGAAGTTTCCTAAACCTTAAACTTCTTAAACTGAGTTTCCTCAACCTGTAGTTTGTTATACTGTGTTATAGACTGTGTTATAGACCAAATATTCCTACAATTACAACTTTTGGGATACTCACATTCCGGGTGAAGGAGTTTCCAAACATCATGGATCTTCTCAAGCCCAAAAGCATTCAGCCCCTAAAAGAGAGAAAGAAAAGGAACTGTGGAGCTTTCAGGGTATTCTGGAGGTTGTATTGAAAAAAGGTATTTATTTATTATTTATTTAGCAGTTTTGTATACCAGTCTTCTCACCTCCGTTCGAGGGACTCAGGCCGGTTTCCAACATCAATATTACAGACAGTCATGAAAACATCATATTCTAAATCACACTAAAACATTAAAACATTGAAACAATTAAAATGGCAAAAATACAATCATATGATTGCAGTGGTCAGTCGTCATGCCATTTGCCAGCAAATATGGAAAACACAAGAATGGCCATCAGACTGGAAAAAATCAACTTATATCCCCATACCAAAAAAGGGAAATGCAAAAGACTGCTCAAACTTCCGTACAGTGGCCCTTATTTCTCATGCCAGTAAGGTAATGCTCAAGATCCTGCAAGGAGACGACTGAACGAATGAACAACAACATATGTTCAAGCTGGGTTTAGAAAAGGTAGAGGAACAAGAGACCAATTGCCAATATCCGCTGGATAATGGAGAAAGGCAGGGAGTTTCAGAAAAACATCTACTTCTGCTTCATTGACTATTCTAAAGCCTTTGACTGTGTGGATCATAATAAATTGTGGCCAGTTCTTAGTGGGATGGGCATCCCAAGCCACCTTGCCTCTCTCCTGAGGAATCTGTACAAGGACCAAGTAGCAACAGTCAGAACTGACCATGGAACAACAGACTGGTTCAAGATTGGGAAAGGCGTACGGCAAGGCTGCATCCTCTCACCCAACCTTTTTAACTTGTATGCAGAACACATCATGCGATGTGGGGCTGGATGAATGCAAGGCTGGGGTGAAAATTGCTGGAAGAAACATTAACAACCTCAGATATGCAGATGACACCACTCTGATGGCCGAAAGCGAGGAGGAGCTGAGGAGCCTTCTAATCAAGGTGAAAGAAGAAAGCGCAAAAGCTGGGTTGCAGCTAAACATCAAAAAACCAAGATTATGGCAACAAGAATGATTGACAACTGGAAAATAGAGGGAGAAACCGTGGAGGCCGTGACAGACTTTGTATTTCTAGGTGCAAAGATTGCTGCAGATGCAGACTGTGGCCAGGAAATCAGAAGACGCTTCCTTCTTGGGAGGAGAGCAATGTCCAGTCTCGATAAAATAGTGAAGAGTAGAGACATCAGACTGGCAACAAAGATCCGCATAGTCAAAGCCATGGTATTCCCTGTAGTAACCTACGGATGTGAGAGCTGGACCTTAGGGAAGGCTGAGCGAAGGAAGAGAGATGCTTTTGAGCTGTGGTGTTGGAGGAAAGTTCTGAGAGTGCCTTGGACTGCGAGAAGATCCAACCAGTCCATCCTCCAGGAAATAAAGCCCGACTGCTCATTGGAGTGAAGGATACTAGAGACAAAGTTGAAGTACTTTGGCCACATCATGAGGAGACAGCAAAGCCTAGAGAAGACAATTATGCTGGGGAAAGTGGAAGGCAAAAGGAAGAGGGGCCGACCAAGGTCAAGATGGATGGATGGCATCCTTGAAGTGACTGGCTTGAGTCTGAAGGAGCTGGGGGTGGTGACGGCTGACAGGGAGCTCTGGCGTGGGCTGGTCCATGAGGTCACGAAGAGTCGGAGACGAATGAACGAATGAACAACAACATCCATATCACAGGATCATGGCTCATTCGTTGAATGCCAATTCCCAAAGCCAAGTTTTCACCTGTTTCCTGAACGTTAAGATAGAAGGGGCAGTTCTGATCTCCAGTGGAAGGGAGTTCCAGAGTCGAGGGGCCACCACCGAGAAGGCCCTGTCTCTCGTCCCCACCAGCCGCGCCTGTGAGGCTGGTGGGATCGAGAGCAGGGCCCCTCCAGACGATCTTAGCAATCTTGATGGTTCATAGGGGAGGATATGTTCGGTAACTTCTCCAAACTCTGGTGCCACAACTAGGGAGAGACATTGACCCTTTACACCAGTCATTGCATCAAGGGTCCAGTATCTCTCTTCATTACAATACATAAAAAGATATGCAACAGCCCCCCCCCCCCAGTGGCGCAGCAGGTTAAACCGCTGAGCTGCTGAACTTGCTCTCTGAAAGGTTGGCGGTTTGAATCCGAGGAGCGGAGTGAGCTACCGCTATTAGGCCCAGCTTCAGCCAACCTAGCAGCTTGAAAACATGCTAATATGAGTAGATCAGTGATGGGCAACCTTTTGAGCTTGGTGTGTCAAAATTTGCCAAAAACCTGAGCATAACTTGGGTGGGGTGCCAACTTCGGGAAAAAAACAACATAATTTTGCAATATTTATAGTTTAAATAAGAAAAATGTATATTCCATGCGGAGTTATGGAGTGAACAATACTCAAACTTAGAATCATAGAATTATAGAATCAAAGAGTTGGAAGAGACCTCATGGGCCATCCAGTCCAACCCCATTCTGCCAAGAAGCAGGAATATTGCATTCAAATCACCCCTGACAGATGGCCATCCAGCCTCTGTTTAAAAGCTTCCAAAGAAGGAGCCTCCACCACACTCCGGGGCAGAGAGTTCCACTGCTGACAGCTCTCACAGTCAGGAAGTTCTTCCTCATGTTCAGATGGAATCTCCTCTCTTGTAGTTTGAAGCCATTGTTCCGCGTCCTAGTCTCCAGGAAAGCAGAAAACAATCTTGCTCCCTCCTCCCTGTGGCTTCCTCTCACATATTTATACATGGCTATCATATCTCCTCTCAGCCTTCTCTTCTTCAGGCTAAACATGCCCAGCTCCTTAAGCCGCTCCTCATAGAGCTTATTCTCCAGACCCTTGATCATTTTAGTCGCCCTCCTCTGGACACATTCCAGCTTGTCAATATGCAGATGTTAAATTTGTAGAGCCTTTTACAAATTTAAGGATGGAATTAGATTGGCTCTTATAAGGTGTACTTCTCTGTATGCGACCGCTTGTGGCCGCGTGTCATCAAAAATAGCCATGCGTATCAGTGCTGACACGCATGTCATAGGTTCACCATCACGGGAGTTGATCAATAGGTATCGACTGCTCTAGCGGGAAGGCAACGGCACTCCAGGCAGTCATGCTGGCCACTTGACCTTGGAGGTGTCTACGGACAATGCCGGCTCTTCAGCTTAGAAATGGAGATGAGCACCAACCCCCAGTTGGATGTGACGAGACTTAACGTCACGGGAAACCTTTACCTTTATCTAACAAAATTTGGGGAAAAAAATCTGTTCCTAGTTTGAAAATTTAATTGTGTGGTACTTTTATGTTGAAAGTCATTTTTCCGTTTCAGAAACTTTGTTTTTTTTGTGGCTGATTGAGGCTCTATGAGAGATTCACTGATAAACTACAGCAAATTTGTGCTGCAGGGTATCCCTCACACAAAAAAACCCCCAAAATTTGTGCAGTTTAATAAACTTTCCTCATGTTGTTATGGCAGAACCAATTAGGAAATGACATATATAATAGGAATAGGAATCATGTTACATAGTGTTATTATTTTGCCAGTTTCTTGCAACTGCCCCTTCTACCTGTATGCCACACTTACTCCCAAAAAGTATATTTTGGCGGGCGACTCTCCTTCCGTAACTTTCACAGCGTCCTCAAAGATGGTCAGGTTGTTCCTGGACAAGCGGGTCACCTTTCCCGTCATGCCGACCCCGTTGACATCGCCTGCCGAAGAAGCAGCAGCAATTCATCACATTTTTTTGCAAATCTTAATCAAGAGCCAGCTTTTATTTATTTATTGCGTCCGAAGCAAATTGAGAATACAGAATTAGGATTGATGGGAAAGGATGGCTCCTGGGATAAAGCGCTCCAGACTCAAAATAAATTTATTACAAAAATATACAAAAAAATATTGGAATGGGAAACGGAAAAGGAGAGGGTAACGGATTGTACGGCCAAATGGGCGGCCAATGTTGGCCATAAAATAAATTTAGACGATTGGGAAAAAATGTGGACAAGGAAAATTAACAACAGAGTGGAAGCAATCAGGGACATCTAATCACCTCCCAACAAAAGATTGCCCCAGGCACTGCCAGGCCACCAAATGCTAATCAAGGTGGTCTGTTGAAACATTCACACCTAGCTCCAACAGACAAGAGTCCTTTGTCCCACCCTGGTTATTCCACAGATATATAAACTCATTTTCCTAATTCCAACATACCTCACTACCTCAGACCATGAAAATGAACAAAATCTGGCTACCAGTATTAAAAAACTCTGAAATTACAATAGCAATACAACAGAGAGGAAACAGCCAGGCACATCTTAACACCTCTCAACAAAACATTTTCCCAGGCTCAGCCAGGCCTTCAAATGCTGGACAACCTGGACACAGCATATTATTTGAGAACACAGAAATGCTGGACCACACCAACAACCACCATGTCAGACTACACAGAGAAGCCATTGAAATCCACAAGCATGTGGACAATTTCAACAGAAAGGAAGAGACCATGAAAATGAACAAAATCTGGCTACCAGTATTAAAAAACTCTAAAATTACAACAGCAAAACAGCAGAGAGGAAACAACCAGGCACATCTTAACACCTCTCAACAAAAGATTTTCCCAGGCTCAGCCAGGCCTTCAAATGCTAATGAAGGTGGTCAGTTGAAACATTCACCACCTAGCTCCAGCAGAGAAGAGCTCTTTGCCCCACTCCAGCCATTCCACAGATATATAAACCCATTGTCCTAATTCCAACAGACCTCACTACCTCTGAGGATGCTTGCCATAGATGCAGGCGAAACGTCAGGAGAAATGCCTCTAGAACATGGCCCTATAGCCCGAAAAAACCCACAAGAACCTACCATAAGTATTTTCTGATGGTTATGGGGATTCCATGTGGGAAGTTTGAGCCAATTCTATCGTTGGTGGAGTTCAGAATGTTCTTTGATTGTAATGAACTATAAATCCCAGCAACTACAACTCCCAAATGTCAAGATCTATTTTCCCTAGACTCCACCAGTGTTCACATTTGGGCATATTGAGTATTCGTGCCAAGTTTGGTCCAGATCCACCATTGCATGAGTCCACAGTGTTCTCTGGATATCGGTGAACTACAACTCCCAAACTCAAGGTCAATGCCCATCAAACCCTTCCAGTTTTTTCCATTGGTCATGGGAGCCAAATTTGGTTCAAATCCATCGCTGGTGCAGTTCACAATGCTCTTTGATTATAAGTGAACTATAAATCCCAGCAACTACAACTCCAAATTACAAAATCAATCCTCCCCCAACCCCACTAGCATTCACATTTGGGTGTATTGGGTATTTGTGCCCAGTTTGGTCCAGTGAATGAAAATGCATCCTGCATATCAGATATTTACATTATGATTTATAACAGTAGTAAAATGACTGTTATGAAGTAGCAACGAAAACAATATTATGGTTGGGGGTCACCACAACATGAGGGACTGTATTAAGGGGTCACGGCATTAGGAAGGTTGAGAACCACTGCTCTAGAACATGGCCATATCCCGAAAAAACCTACAACAACCCAGTGATTCCGGCCATGAAAGCCTTCGACAATACATTTCAAAGCTCTCTCTCTGCTTCAGCCAGCTAAACCTGTTTGAGAAGCCAATCCACACACACAATGTCAATCCTTACCTTCCTGGCTGCCGCCGACCAGCGTTTTATTCCGAATTTTCTTGCAGACGTCCAGAATGGTCGCCCCAACGTAGGCTATTTCTGCACCAAACCGGAAACTCTGGAGAAAATTGGAAGAAGGAGGACTGGGAAAATAGCTTACGAGAGTGAGTACAGCAAAGCGCCCAATCCCTTGTTTCGCCTGTGCTTATTAGCTTCCGAGCACAATTCAAAGTTGGTTTTGACCTATAAAGCCCTAAACAGCTCTGGCCCACTTTACCTGTGTCTCTCCCTATGAACCATGTGTCCAGAGGAGGGCGACTAAAATGATCAAGGGTATGGAGAACAAGCCCTATGAGGAGCGGCTTAAGGAGCTGGGCATGTTTAGCCTGAAGAAGAGAAGGCTGAGAGGAGATATGATAGCCATGTATAAATATGTGAGAGGAAGCCACAGGGAGGAGGGAGCAAGCTTGTTTTCTGCTTCCCTGGAGACTAGGACGCAATGGAACAATGGCTTCCAACTACAAGAGAGGAGATTCCATCTGAACATGAGGAAGAACTTCCTGACTGTGAGAGCCGTTCAGCAGTGGAACTCTCTGCCCCGGAGTGTGGTGGAGGCTCCTTCTTTGGAAGCTTTTAAACAGAGGCTGGATGGCCATCTGTCAGGGGTGATTTGAATGCAATATTCCTGCTTCTTGGCAGGGGTTGGACTGGATGGCCCATGAGGTCTTCCAACTCTTTGATTCTATAATTCTATGATTTTACAATTTCGTAAACTGCCGGGGAGACTGCTCTCGATCCCACCACCATCGCAGTCGCGTTTGGTGGGGACGAGAGACAGGGCCTTCTCCGTGGTGGCCCCTCAGCTTTGGAATTCCGTCTCCAAAGAGGTTAGATCTGCCCCCTTCCTTCTGACTTTTCGCAAGACACTTGAAACTTGGCTGTGGGAGCAAGAATTCACTGAATAGATGGTTTTTATTGGTGAAAATGAGATTTTATGGACCGCATTTTTTGGACTGATCTGGAGGATGTTTTAGATCTGGCAAACTGTTTTTAATGCGCATTTTATTATTATGTTATGTAAATGTGTGTTTTATTGGTGTTTTTATATTGTTGGAATCTGTCCCGAGTCCCTCTTCGGAGGTCAAGAATAGGACGGGATACAAATGTTCTAAATCAATAAATCAATAATACATAGCTCCCAGAACTGAATTAAAATGCTTGGAGATTGCAAATCCTCTCTGTCCTGTGAGCTGTGATTAGAGAAATTAGGCACAGCTTAAGCAGGGAGGTTGAAACGAAAGAGGAACAAAACAAAACAAGGCAGGGGAGCCTTTTATTTTATCATCCCACCGCTGCCGCCATTAAATATGAAATGCACTCTGTTCTTTTGCATGGCAGGGTGGCCTTTTATGTTGTCATCCCACCGCTGCCACTAATAAATATGTGAGGAACTCTAACTTGTTGCATAGTGGAAAGAACCTCTTGTTTATTGGAATTAGGACAATGGGTTTATATATCTGTGGAATGGCTGGGGTGGGGCAAGGAGCTCTTCCCTGCTGCAGTTAGGTGTGAATGTTTAGCTGATCACCTTCATTAGCATTTGAAGGCCTGCCTGAGCCTGGGAAAATCTGTTGCTGGGAGGTGTTAATCTGTGCCTGTTTTTTTCCTCTCTGTTGTTTAGCTGTTATAATTTTAGAGTTTTTTAATACTGGTAGCCAGATTTTGTTCATTTTCATGGTCTCCTCCCCTCCGTTGAAACTGTCCACATGCTTGTGGATTTCAATGGCTTCTCTGTGTAGTCTGACATGGTGGTTGTTGGTATGGTCCAGCATTTCTGTGTTCTCAAATAATATGCTGTGTCCAGGCTGGTTTATTTATTTATTTATTTATTTACTTTATTTGTATACCGCACTATCTCAGCCCGCAGGCGACTCAGTGCGGTTTACAACAGGTCAATATACAAAGTGCACAGCATTAGCATTAACATTTAAACAATAACTAAAGCAACTAAAACAATACAACAATACATCAGTAAATCAACATGATATCAATACATCATATAACTAATCCAACACGTCTCATCAGTAAAGTCATAATCCGATCTCCTCGTCCATTATTCCAAGTTCCAAATTCCAAGTTCCAAACTCAGTCAATTGATTGCACTACTTAATTGAACGCCTGTTCAAAGAGCCAGGTCTTCACTCTTCTCCTGAACGCCAGCAGGGAGGGGACCGATCTAACATCTGCGGGAAGGGCGTTCCACAGCCGAGGGGCCACCACTGAGAAGGCCCTGTCTCTCGTGCCCGCCAGCCGTGCTTGTGAGGCTGGCGGGATCGAGAGCAGGGCCTCCCCGGACGATCTTAATGTCCTAACTGGTTCATAGGGGTGATGCGTTCGGACAGATAGGTCGGGCCAGAACCGTTTAGGGCTTTAAAGGCTAAAGCCAGCACTTTGAATTGTGCCCGGTAGCAAATTGGCAGCCAGTGGAGCTGGCGCAACAGAGGAGTGGTGTGCTCCCTGAGTGCCGCTCCTGTTAACAATCTGGCTGCCGATCGTTGCACCATTTGTAGCTTCCGAGCCGTCTTCAAAGGCAACCCCACGTAGAGAGCGTTGCAGTAATCTAAACGGGATGTAACCAGTGCGTGGACTACCGTGGCCAAGTCAGATTAAGATCACTCTGACCAAAAAGGTCATGAGTTTGAAGCCAGCCGGGTTGGAGTGGGTTTCCAACCAATTGTGTGTAGCCTGTTGTCGACCTTTGCAACCCGAAAGACAGTTGCATCTGTCAAGTAGGAAAATAAGGTACCACCTTAAAGTGTGGGGAGGCTAAATTAACTGATTTATGAGGCCATAAAGAAGACTCCAGCAAAGCATTCCAGCGGGGAAGCATGCGGGGAATGCGGAAGTGCTTCATCAGCGTCGCAGATGGACGATGAAAGCGACAGCTCCCCTGGCGGCCAGAAAAATCATAGAATCATAGAGTTGGAAGAGACCTCATGGGCCATCCAGTCCAACCCCATTCTGCCAAGAAGCAGGAATATTGCATTCAAATCACCCCTGACAGATGGCCATCCAGCCTCTGTTTAAAAGCTTCCAAAGAAAAAGTTAAATAGCCTCTGTGTATGTCTGTATATGTTTGTATGTCAAAAATTGGCATTGAATGTTTGCCATATATGTATTCTCTCCTATGAACCATCAAGATTATTAAGATCGTCTGGAGAGGCCCTGCTCTCAGTCCCACCGGCCTCGCAAGCGCGTCTGGTGGGGACGAGGGACAGGGCCTTCTCGGTGGTGACCCCGCGGCTCTGGAACTCTCTCCCACTGGAGATCAGAACCGCCCCTTCTATCCTGACATTCAGGAAACAGGTGAAGACGTGGTTATGGAGACAGGCATTTGATGAGTGAGCCAACACCCTGAGATATGGATGGAGGATGATGTACAATCGATTTTAGTATGACGACTGACCATTGAGGTTATTGAATATATTTGCTGTTTTAATGTGTTATTGTAATATGAATTATGTTGTTTTACTGACTGTATGTGATTTTATGGTTGGAAACCGGTCTGAGTCCCTCAAAAGAGGTGAGAAGGTCGGTATACAAAACTTTTAAATAAATATATGTGTACACTGTAATCCACCCTGAGTCCCCTGCGGGGTGAGAAGGGCAGAATATAAAAGCTGTAAATAAATGAATAATAAATAATAAAAGATTGTTTAATTATTATTCTTCCTTTTATGACTACTCAAGTTGGAGGTGATATATGGAGAGAGAGGCTTTATTTGAAATGAAACAGTAACTCAGTTTATTTGTACCATTCTTGTGGCAAAAGCGTAATGGTTACAGAGGTTCAAATGCTTGCTGATTACAAAATAATGTTTCAATATGAGTTTCATTCAATCTTTTCTTTCTTCCCGAAAGGACTGTTATAACAATACATAAAAACAGGTCACTTTCTAACTTTCTAAGGCGAGCCAAATTCGCTACATAAGGTATTTTACATAAGGCACCATAAAAGAAATACTAGAAAAAATGCTGGTGATCAAAGGAAGGAGGAAGTCTATGATCAAGGCTCTTCATCATAGATGGAGCAACAGCACCCCCCTGTGGCCAGAATCAAGCACAACCTCCAGGATGCCGAAGCTGACATAATACTTCAATCTGTTGTCTGTCCTGTCTGTTTAACGGCACTGAATGTTTGCCATGTATGTGTTATGTGATCTGCCCTGAGTCCCCTTTGGGGTGAGAAGGGCAGAATAGAAATGCTGTAAATAAATAAATAAATAAATAAATAAATAGATGGCCATATGTTGGGGATGCTTTGATGGTGCCTTCCTGCCTGGAAGAAGGAGGTTGGAGTGGATGGCCTTTAGGGTCTCTTCCATCTCTATGATTCTATGACTGCATGATTCAGTGTGAAACACCTCGACGGAAGACCAGAAGGAATCCAGTCCGGACTGACCTGTGTGAGGTAGTAGATGTGGGTGTGCGGCACTTCGGACATGGCGTTGACAGCGCCCCGGAAACTGTAGATCTGCTGGTGGGGGTCCCCGACCAAGATGACCCCGCACGGCTGGGAAAGGATAATGTCCATAACGGCTACGAAGAGAAGAAGGAAACATCCAATCAGTATTATATAGGGCAGTGTAGAAGGGGCCTCAAAGAGGCTAACACTTAAAATAATCCGATATGTAAACTGAAACCCAAATCATACAAACATTAAAATAGAATTGAACATAGAACTTATTAAAAATACATAGTTAAAACTAATAGTTGCAGCATTTACACTAGTTTCTCAAGGAAGTTCCTTGAGATCCACAAAGCCTTACGTGGCAAAAAATGCTGATGCTTCCCAAATAACAACTCCAAGGAGTCCACAGCATTCTGCCATGGCAGATAAAGTGGTTTCAAACTGCATTAAATCTACAGTGTAGATGCACTCCTAGTCATAAGTGGGCATCTACACTGTAGAATTAGTGTAGTTTGATACCATAAGCTATCCACTTCTTTCTCTCGGTGAGTTTCAAACGTGCTACAAGATCCCTTTGCGTACAGATGATATTATTATTATTATTATTATTATTATTATTATTATTATTTATAAACACAGCAAGATCAGTCCACTCTGCTGGTTGTTGTACTGGATCACACGTCGGACACTTCCCAAGTGTCTAGGACTGTGTGATGTATCTTTGATTAATGCATGTAGATCCCAGTAAGATGGCCTTCTGAAGCTGGCAATGGTAATTTTGTTAGCGCTGATTGTGTTTAAGTGCAGGCCAAGGTCTTTAGGCACTGCACCCAGTGTGCCGATCACCACTGGGACCACCTTGACTGGCTTGTGCCAGAGTCTTTGCAGTTTGATCTTTAAATCCTCGTATCGTGTCAGCTTTTCCAGTTGTTTCTCTGCAATCCTGCTGTCACCTGGGATTGCAACATCGACGATCCATACTTTGTTTTTTAACACGATCGTGAGGTCAGGAGTATTATGCTCCAAAACTCTGTCTGTCTGAATCCAGAAGTCCCAGAGGAGTTTGGCATGTTCACTCTCTGTAACTCTTTCCGTCTTGTGATCCCACCAGTTCTTTGTTGCAGGCAGATGGTATTTGTGGCACAAGTTCCAATGAATCATCTGAGCAACAGTGTTATGCCTCTGCTTGGAGTCTGTCTGCGCGATCTTCTTGCAGCAGCTGAGGATGTGATCTATTGTTTCGTCTGCTTCCTTGCAAAGTTTACACACACTTGGGATCTGTCGTCTACTTTTCAACTTTGGCTTTGATGGCATTTATTCTAATGGCTTGTGCTTGGACTGCCAGAATCAGGCCCTCCATCTCCTATTATTATTGTTGTTGTTTATATTATTTACTAGCCGTCCCCTGCCACGCGTTGCTGTGGCCCACATGGGGGTTCTGTGTGGGAGGTTTGGCCCAATTCTATCGTTGGTGTGGTTCAGAATGCTCTGTGATTGTAGGTGAACTATAAATCCCAGCAACTACAACTCCCAAATGTCAAGATTCTATTTTCCCCAAACTCCACCAGTGTTCACATTTGGGCATATTGAGTATTTGTGTAGAGTTTGGTCCAGATCCATCATTGTTTGAGTCCACAGTGATCTCTGGATGTAGGTGAACTACAACTCCAAATCCAAAGGACACTGCCCACCAAACCCTTCCAGGATTTTCTGTTGGTCTTGGGAGAACTGTGTGCCACGTTTGGTTCAATTCCATAACTGGTGGAGTTCAGAATGTTCTTTGATTGTAGGTGAACTATAAATCCCAGCAACTGCAACTCCCAAATGACAAAATCAATTTTTTTGAGTGAAGGACATACATTGGGTTGTTAGTTGCCTTGTGTCCAAATTTGGTGTCAATTCGTCCAGTGGTTTTTGAGTTCTGTTAATCCCACAAACGAATATTACATTTTTATTTATATAGATGTTTATGTTTATTTATATCCCACTTTTTCCCTCCATAAAGAGACTCAAAGTAGCAAGCATAATAGATATTCCCGATCAATGCGGCTATGTGTGTCTCAAAATGCAATTGAGTATTTTCTCTGTGGGGTTTCCTCAGTGGAGCAAGATACTTCTTCTTCTCAAGGATAAGGAAACCTGCTCTATACATATCTACTCACCTGGGGTGCAATCCTGAGCCTCATCCACAAAGATGGCATCATAGTCAGACAGCAAAGGCTTCTGAAGCTGCCACAACTTCAAGTATCCTAGGAAGAAAGCATAACATTGGTAAGCAAACCATCAAATCGAGCCTCCCTTTTCTGGAAATCCAAAAGGACTCCGAAATCCTAAACTTTTAAACCTTGTTCTTGGCCTAGGTTTTGAAGGATGCTCCTAATCTATTTTATGGTAGACATGGTGGAGCCCTTAGTGGGCAGGAAGGTAACACATACTTCCAAGATGTAATATATATATATATATATATATATATATATATATATATATATAATATATACACACACACACACACACACACACACACA